ATAGTTGGTGCATGTGTACAGTAACCTGAGGGGAGTGAGGTGACTATTTCTGAGGAGAACATGAGCAGTGAAGATTCACCTTGGAGCTAGAACAGGGACGTGCACATGATTATACAGGGGCAGGGGCTCAAGTTTTTTCCAGTCATTTATACAATATGGAAATTAATGTGAAATTAAACCACAAATATGTGTGATGAACTGTTTTTAAAACTTAAACTTCAAATAAAAATTGTAAACTTCAAAACATATGCAAATTTTTAACAAAGAACATAGTAATTTACCTCTATTTACATCAAAATGCAGGCAATGGCCCAGGCGTTCTTTGTAAAATTATTTACAAAACACTGTATAGTCTCACAAATGTCACTTTTTATTTATGCCACTACAAAAAAACATGATGTAAATGATGCATGATGTAAAACATGATGTAAAAAACTTGTGTAGATCCTCCTCTATGTCAGTCCATGTGTAATTTTTCCATAATTCTTTGTTTTTTGCAGCATTTTTGTTAGTGTAACTGCAGATTGTGCTGACAGTGTCTATGGCACAAAAAAAAAAAAAATTTAAAATGCCTCAACATGAACCCCTGGTGGTCTCTGAGGGTGAAACCTGCTAACTGCTGCAGCTCTGTCAGCTTCAGTCTCCCATGCAGAGCTCTGAGCGCATGTGTGGCTCTGCACCCTTAGCAGCGTTGCTAACTCCTCAGTAAGGAAAGCCTGCTTCATGTCAGAGTCTCTAAACTCCAGAAGAAGTCGATAAAAGTCACTTTCTTTCTAAAAAAAAGTCGTTAGGGGGTCTGAAAAGTCATTGAATCTAACAACAAAGTCGCTAGGTTTGCAACTACGTGTCCCAGACTGCATCCCTGCTGAGAGTCCCTCCCTCGCTTCTCATGTTGCAGGAAGAACGTAAGCGCCCTCCCCTTGTCAATCAGTCACCATATAATTTTGGATTGGTTGTTGTGGTGAAGTTTTCCACCAATAGGAGAGATGTTGTGGTGTGTTTTTTTTTCTTTTGGCAAGCCTTTTCCGCCTGTAAGACCTGTCGCTAATGTCTGCATGCTATGTTTTCCTGTCTCATACAGCGCGATCGAGCGCCGAACGTGATCAAAATAAGCAGAAAAAAAGTATCGCGGACATAATTTATCATAACTCTGGTTTTATTTGGCCTATCAACACAATTTAAAAACTGGTATATAGGTTGAGGTCCTCACTTTTGAGATAAGTTGAAACGGAGAGTCAACGAGGCTCCGTCTTGCAGCTACATCCGGTTAAATATGTCATGTGACTTGAATGCACACACAGACACACACACACACACGCACACACACACACACACACTCAGAGTCTGGTTTTTAGCACCTGCAAAAACATGCTATTTACATATTTGACAAGAATGCAGAGGCTCCTTTTGCCCCTGAAAAAAATCAAATTTCAAACACAACTTGACTGGTCATTTCTCCAAAAGACAACCATGAAGCTCCATCCAAACCTGAAGCAGGCAGTTGGTGCATGTGTACAGTAACCTGAGGGGAGTGAGGTGAGTGCTTCTGAGGAGAACATGAGCTGTGAAGATTCACCTTGGAGCTAGAACAGAGACATGCACATGATTATACAGGGGCAGGGGCTCAAGTTTTTTCCAGTCGTTTATACAATATGGAAATTAATGTGAAATTAAAACACAAAGTATTAATAGAAAGGTAATGACTTTCCTGTGTAGGTGACAGTGATATCCAATAGGCTAGGCACTCACGAGGCTGGCTGTGGCAAGTGTAAGTGAAAGCAACACGCACTGGCAAGAAGAACAGCAAACGCCGATGAAGGAAAAGGGTCTTTGCAGTGATGGGCGTTACCAGAGAGGGCGATGGCCAGAGGACACAAATGGGACGGGGAGGCAGCACGTTGGGGGGGGGACGCGACACGGCTCGGGCCCGCCAGTGCCCCAACGGGGTCCTAGTTGTTTCTTTCTTAGGGCCCGAGCGTAGCTGCTAAGCAGCTGCGAGAGCCCTATTATTCCCCAAGTGGTTTTTCTTTGTTAGGGCCCGAGCGTAGCTGCTAAGCAGCTGCGAGAGCCCTCTTGTTCCTGTAGTTTCCTTCTTTTGTTATTAGGGCCCGAGCCAGCTGCAGAGCAGCCGGGCGTAGGCCCTATTATTCCCCAAGTGGTTTTTCTTTGTTTCTTTCTTTCTTTTTTCTTTTTCCTCCCCTTTGAACTGGAAAATGGCCCACTTCCCACTGGCGAAAACTCATGAAATTTGGCAGGATGACCGGGCCTGGTGAAAAATTCGATATTCTGAAGTCGCCAAAACAATAAAATGCAAAATGGCTCCATAGCGCCCCCTAAGGTCGAAATTCACACTATTGACTGTCACGCCTGTACGCTTTGTCATATTGACACAAAAATTGACACACACATGTATCTCAATAAGATCTACAAAAAAGTCAGTGCGGCCGTATCTGTCAAAATTACGGTTAAAGGGTTATTTCGCATTTTTTGCCGATCCGCACACATTGGAATTTCGCTAACTCCTCCGAAGGCTTTCGTTCCACCGGCACCACATTTGCTCAGGCCAATCTACACCCCGTGGCCATTAAAAGTTATCAAAATCATGACGCTGCACCCCAAGGTTTAGGTTCTAGGGGGCGCCAAAGATAACACTAAAATCCACATATTTAAAAGTCTTATAACTTTTTATTTTTGTCCTCACTGGCCTCCAAGTTTTCTAGGATGATGCAATGTCCAGCCATCAACACATTTGTGAAGGAATTTTTACTCCCCAAAAGAGCGCCCCCCCATGGCAGGAGAAAAAAGTCCATTTTTTCTTGTCCCCTAAGGTGAAAATACACATTGTTGAGTGTCACGCCTATACGCTTTGTCAAAATGACACAAAAATTGACACACACATGTAACTCAATAAGATCTACAAAAAAGTCCACGCGCGCGTATCTGTCAAATGTACAGTTAAAGGGTTATTCCGCATTTTTTGCCGATCCGCACACATTGGAATGTGGCTAACTCCTCCTAAGGCTTTCGTTCCACCGGCACCACATTTGCTCAGGCCAATCTACACCCCATGGCCATTAAAAGTTATCAAAATCATGACGCTGCACCCCACGGTTTAGGTTCTAGGGGGCGCCAAAGATAACCCAAAAATCCACATTCTTAAATGTTTTATAACTTTTTATTTTTGTCCTCACTGGCCTCCAAGTTTTCTAGGATGATGCAATGTTCAGCCATCAACACATTTGTGAAGGAATTTTTACTCCCCAAAAGAGCGCCCCCCCATGGTAGGAGAAAAAAGTCAATTTTTTCTTGTCCACTTACATAAAAATACACATTGTTGAGTGTCACGCCTGAACGCTTTGTCATATTGACACAAAAATTGACACACATATGTATCTCAATAAGATCTACAAAAAAGTCAATTTGCGCGTATCTGTCAAATGTACGGTTAAAGGGCTATTTTGCATTTTTTGCCGATTCGCACACATTGGAATGTGGCTAACTCCTCCTAAGGCTTTCGTCCCACTGACACCAAATTTGCTCAGGCCAATCTACACCCCATGGCCATTCAAAGTTGTAAAAATCATGACGCTGCACCCCACGGTTTACGTTCTAGGGGGCGCCAAAGATGACCCAAAAATCCACATTCTTAAAAGAATCCACATCCCCCCCCCTATGGCAGGAGAAAAAGTCAAGTTTTTCCTGCCCATCGCTCAATGGCTCAATCGCATCGCTCTCCAGGCAACACCGTAAGGAGGAGCAACCTGGCATTTCGATATATCATAGCTGTGTTTGTGCCCTCACTCATGGTCCAGACTTTTTTCAAATAGGACATGAAGTTTGTCTGCAGCGAGTGTTTTGGTAGAAACTGCGCCTCCCATTCATTATAATGGGAAATGACCACAGACAAGTGCGCACACCATCTTTGGTTCTTGAGTGTGACTCGATCGGGACGGGGAGGCGGTCGCACTGGGGGCGGCGCGACACGGCTCGGGCCCGACAGTGCCCCACCGGGGCCCTAGTTATTATTTTTCCTCCCCTTTGAACTGGAAAATGGCCCACTTCCCACTGGCGAAAACTCATGAAATTTGGCAGGACGACCGGGCCTGGTGAAAAATTTGATATTCCGAAGTCGCCCAAACAAGAAAATGCAAAATGGCTCCATAGCGCCCCCTAAGGTGAAAATTCACACTATTCACTGTCACGCCTGTACGCTTTGTCAAAATGACACAAAAATTGACACACACATGTATCTCAATAAGATCTACAAAAAAGTCAGTGCGGGCGTATCTGTCAAATGTACGGTTAAAGGGTTATTTTGCATTTTTTGCCGATCCGCACACATTGGAATTTCGCTAACTCCTCCGAAGGCTTTCGTTCCAACAGCACCACATTTGCTCAGGCCAATCTACACCCCATGGCCATTAAAAGTTATTCAAATCATGACGCTGCACCCCACGGTTTAGGTTCTAGGGGGCGCCAAAGATAACCCTAAGATCCACATATTTAAAAGTCTTATAACTTTTTATTTTTGCCCTCACTGGCCTCCAAGTTTTCTAGGATGATGCAATGTCCAGCCATCAACACATTTGTGAAGGAATTTTTACTCCCCAAAAGAGCGCCCCCCATGGCAGGAGAAAAAAGTCCATTTTTTCTTGTCCCCTAAGATGAAAATACACATTGTTGAGTGTAACACCTGTACGCTTTGGCAAAATGACACAAAAATTGACACACACATGTATCTCAATAAGATCTACGAAAAAGTCAATGCGCGCGTATCTGTCAAATGTACGGTTAAAGGGTTATTCCGCATTTTTTGCCGATCCGCACACATTGGAATTTCGCTAACTCCTCCGAAGGCTTTCAATCCACCGGCACCACATTTGCTCAGGCCAATCTACACCCCATGGCCATTAAAAGTTATTCAAATCATGACGCTGCACCCCACGGTTTAGGTTCTAGGGGGCGCCAAAGATAACCGTAAAATCCACATATTTAAAAGTCTTATAACTTTTTATTTTTGTCCCCACTGGCCTCCAAGTTTTCTAGGATGATGCAATGTCCAGCCATCAACACATTTGTGAAGGAATTTTTACTCGGCAAAAGAGCGCCCCCCCATGGCAGGAGAAAAAAGTCAATTTTTTCTTGTCCACTAAGGTGAAAATACACATTGTTGAGTGCTACGCCTGTATGTTTTGTCGTATTGACACAAAATTTTACATACACGTGTATTTCAATAAGATCTTCGAAAAAGTCAGTGGCCACGTATCTGTAAAATGTACAGTTAAAGGGTTATTTCGCATTTTTTGCAGATTCGCACACATTGGAATTTCGCTAATTCCTCCGAAGGCTTTCGTTCCACCGGCACCACATTTGCTCAGGCCAATCTACACCCCATGGCCATTAAAAGTTATTCAAATCATGACGCTGCACCCCACGGTTTAGGTTCTAGGGGGCGCCAAATATAACCCTAAAATCCACATATTTAAAAGTCTTATAACTTTTTATTTTTGTCCTCACTGGCCTCCATGTTTTCTAGGATGATGCAATGTCCAGCCATCAACACATTTGTGAAGGAGTTTTTTCTCTTTAAAAGAGCGCCCCCCATGGCAGGAGAATAAAGTCAAGTTTTTCCTGTTCATCATTCAATGGCTCAAACGCACTGCTCTCTCGGCAAAAGCGAAAGGAGGAGCAACTTGCCATTTGGATATATCTTAGCTGTGTTTGTGCCCTCACTCATGGTCCAGACTTTTTTCAAATAGGACATGGAGTTTTTCTGCAGCGAGCGTTTTGGTAGAAACTGCGCCTCCCGTTCATTATAATGGTAAATGACCACAAACAAGTGTGCACACCATCTTTGGACCTTGAGTGTGACGCGATCGGGTGGGGGAGGCGGTCGCGCTGGGGGCGGCGTGACACGGCTCGGGCCCGCCAGTGCCCCAACGGGGCCCTAGTTTCTTTCTTTCTTCTTTTTCCTCCCCTTTGAACTGGAAAATGGCCCACTTCCCACTGGCGAAAACTCATGAAATTTGGCAGGATGACCGGGCCTGGTGAAAAATTTGATATTCCGAAGTCGCCCAAACAAGAAAATGCAAAATGGCTCCATAGCGCCCCCTAAGGTGAAAATTCACACTATTGACGGTCACGCCTTTACGCTTTGTCATATTGACACAAAAATTGACACACACATGTATCTCAATAAGATCTACAAAAAAGTCAGTGCGGGCATATCTGTCAAATGTACGGTTAAAGGGTTATTCCGCATTTTTTGCCGATCCGCACACATTGGAATTTCGCTAACTCCTCCGAAGGCTTTCGTTCCACCGGCACCACATTTGCTCAGGCCAATCTACACCCCATGGCCATTAAAAGTTATTCAAATCATGACGCTGCACCCCACGGTTTAGGTTCTAGGGGGCGCCAAAGATAACCCTAAAATCCACATATTTAAAAGTCTTATAACTTTTTATTTTTGCCCTCACTGGCCTCCAAGTTTTCTAGGATGATGCAATGTCCAGCCATCAACACATTTGTGAAGGAATTTTTAATCCCCAAAAGAGCGCCCCCCCATGGCAGGAGAAAAAAGTCCATTTTTTCTTGTCCCCTAAGGTGAAAATACACATTGTTGAGTGTCACGCCTGTACGCTTTGTCATATTGACACAAAATTTGACACACACATGTATCTCAATAAGATCTACGAAAAAGTCAATGCGCGCGTATCTGTCAAATGTACGGTTAAAGGGTTATTCCGCATTTTTTGCTGATCCGCACACATTGGAATTTCGCTAACTCCTCCTAAGGCTGGCGTTCCACCGGCACCACATTTGCTCAGGCCAATCTACACCCCATGGCCATTAAAAGTTATTCAAATCATGACGCTAGACCCCACGGTTTAGGTTCTAGGGGGCGCCAAAGATAACCCTAAAATCCACATATTTCAAAGTCTTATAACTTTTTATTTTTGCCCTCACTGGCCTCCAAATTTTCTAGGATGATGCAATGTCCAGCCATCAACACATTTGTGAAGGAATTTTTAATCCCCAAAAGAGCGCCCCCCCATGGCAGGAGAAAAAAGTCCATTTTTTCTTGTCCCATAAGATGAAAAAACACATTGTTGACTGTCATACCTGTACGCTTTGTCATATTGACACAAAATTTGACAATCACATGTATCTCAATAAGATCTACGAAAAAGTCAATGCGCGCGTATCTGTAAAATGTACGGTTAAAGGGCTATTTTGCATTTTTTGCCGATTCGCACACATTGGAATGTGGCTAACTCCTCCTAAGGCTTTCGTCCCACTGACACCAAATTTGCTCAGGCCAATCTACACCCCATGGCCATTCAAAGTTGTAAAAATCATGACGCTGCACCCCACGGTTTACGTTCTAGGGGGCGCCAAAGATGACCCAAATATCCACATTCTTAAAAGAATCCACATCCCCCATCCCCCAACCCCCATGGCAGGAGAAACAGTCAAGTTTTTCCTGCCCATCACTCAATGGCTCAATCGCATCACTCTCCCGGCAACACCGTAACGAGGAGCAACTTGCCGTTTGGATATATCCTAGCTGTGTTTGTGCCCTCACTCATGGTCCAGACTTTTTTCAAATAGGACATGTAGTTTGTCTGCAGCGAGTGTTTTGGTAGAAACTGCGCCTCCCATTCATTATAATGGGAAATGACCACAGACAAGTGCGCACACCATCTTTGGACCTTGAGTGTGACGCGATCGGGAGGGGGAGGCGGTCGCGCTGGGGGCGGCGCAACGCGGCTCGGGCCCGACAGTGCCCCACCGGGGCCCTAGTTAGGGCCCGAGCGTAGCTGCTAAGCAGCTGCGAGAGCCCTCTTGTTCCTGTAGTTTCCTTCTTTTTAGGGCCCGAGCGTAGCTGCTAAGCAGCTGCGAGAGCCCTCTTGTTCCTGTAGTTTCCTTCTTTTTAGGGCCCGAGCGTAGCTGCTAAGCAGCTGCGAGAGCCCTATTATTCCCCAAGGGGTTTTTTAGGGCCCGAGCCAGCTGCAGAGCAGCCGGGCGTAGGCCCTATTATTCCCCAAGTGGTTTTTTAGGGCCCGAGCGTAGCTGCTAAGCAGCTGCGAGAGCCCTATTATTCCCCAAGTGGTTTTTCTTTGTTTCTTTTTAGGGCCCGAGCCAGCTGCAGAGCAGCCGGGCGTAGGCCCTATTATTCCCCAAGTGGTTTTTCTTTGTTTCTTTCTTTCTTTCTTTCTTTCTTCTTTTTCCTCCCCTTTGAACTGGAAAATGGCCCACTTCCCACTGGCGAAAACTCATGAAATTTGGCAGGACGACCGGGCCTGGTGAAAAATTCGATATTCTGAAGTCACCCAAACAATAAAATGCAAAATGGCTCCATAGCGCCCCCTAAGGTGGAAATTCACACTATTGACTGTCACGCCTGTACGCTTTGTCATATTGACACAAAAATTGACACACATATGTATCTCAATAAGATCTACAAAAAAGTCAGTGCGGCCGTATCTGTCAAAATTACGGTTAAAGGGTTATTTCGCATTTTTTTCCGATCCGCACACATTGGAATTTCGCTAACTCCTCCGAAGGCTTTCGTTCCACCGGCACCACATTTGCTCAGGCCAATCTACACCCCGTGGCCATTAAAAGTTATCAAAATCATGACGCTGCACCCCAAGGTTTAGGTTCTAGGGGGCGCCAAAGATAACACTAAAATCCACATATTTAAAAGTCTTATAACTTTTTATTTTTGTCCTCACTGGCCTCCAAGTTTTCTAGGATGATGCAATGTCCAGCCATCAACACATTTGTGAAGGAATTTTTACTCCCCAAAAGAGCGCCCCCCCATGGCAGGAGAAAAAAGTCCAATTTTTCTTGTCCCCTAAGGTGAAAATACACATTGTTCAGTGTCACGCCTACACGCTTTGTCAAAATGACACAAAAATTGACACACACATGTAACTCAATAAGATCTACGAAAAAGTCAATGCGCGCGTATCTGTCAAATGTACGGTTAAAGGGTTATCTCGCATTTTTTGCCGATCCGCACACATTGGAATTTCGCTAACTCCTCCGAAGGCTTTCGTTCCACCGGCACCACATTTGCTCAGGCCAATCTACACCCCGTGGCCATTAAAAGTTATCAAAATCATGACGCTGCACCCCAAGGTTTAGGTTCTAGGGGGCGCCAAAGATAACACTAAAATCCACATATTTAAAAGTCTTATAACTTTTTATTTTTGTCCTCACTGGCCTCCAAGTTTTCTAGGATGATGCAATGTCCAGCCATCAACACATTTGTGAAGGAATTTTTACTCCCCAAAAGAGCGCCCCCCCATGGCAGGAGAAAAAAGTCCATTTTTTCTTGTCCCCTAAGGTGAAAATACACATTGTTGAGTGTCACGCCTATACGCTTTGTCAAAATGACACAAAAATTGACACACACATGTAACTCAATAAGATCTACGAAAAAGTCAATGCGCGCGTATCTGTCAAATGTATGGTTAAAGGGTTTTTTCGCATTTTTTGCCGATCCGCACACATTGGAATGTGGCTAACTCCTCCTAAGGCTTTCATTCCACCGGCACCACATTTGCTCAGGCCAATCTACACCCCATGGCCATTAAAAGTTATTCAAATCATGACGCTGCACCCCACGGTTTAGGTTCTAGGGGGCGCCAAAGATAACCCTAAAATCCACATATTTAAAAGTTTTATAACTTTTTATTTTTGTCCTCACTGGCCTCCAAGTTTTCTAGGATGATGCAATGTCCAGCCATCAACACATTTGTGAAGGAATTTTTACTCCCCAAAAGAGCGCCCCCCCATGGCAGGAGAAAAAAGTCAATTTTTTCTTGTCCCCTAAGGTGAAAATACATATTGTTGAGATTCACGCCTATACGCTTTGTCATATTGACACAAAATTTGACAATCACGTGCCTTGCCTGGTATCATTTTTTTCAGCACAACCTCACCTGTGCGAATTTACAGTTATTTTATCATGTTGACATACTGAATTTACACAATGGACCCAAATTCACACACAAAACATAAAATCCGAGTGGAAAAAGTAACATTTTTACTGTGAAAACCACAAATATGTGTGATGAACTGTTTTTAAAACTTAAACTTCAAATAAAAATTGTAAACTTCAAAACATATGCAAATTTTTAACAAAGAACATAGTGATTTACCTCTATTTACATCAAAATGCAGGCAATGGCCCAGGCGTTCTTTGTAAAATTATTTACAAAACACTGTATAGTCTCACAAATGTCACTTTTTATTTATGCCACTACAAAAAAACATGATGTAAATGATGCATGATGTAAAACATGATGTAAAAAACTTGTGTAGATCCTCCTCTATGTCAGTCCATGTGTAATTTTTCCATAATTCTTTGTTTTTTGCAGCATTTTTGTTAGTGTAACTGCAGATTGTGCTGACAGTGTCTATGGCACAAAAAAAAAAAAAATTTAAAATGCCTCAACATGAACCCCTGGTGGTCTCTGAGGGTGAAACCTGCTAACTGCTGCAGCTCTGTCAGCTTCAGTCTCCCATGCAGAGCTCTGAGCGCATGTGTGGCTCTGCACCCTTAGCAGCGTTGCTAACTCCTCAGTAAGGAAAGCCTGCTTCATGTCAGAGTCTCTAAACTCCAGAAGAAGTCGATAAAAGTCCCTTTCTTTCTAAAAAAAAGTCGTTAGGGGGTCTGAAAAGTCATTGAATCTAACAACAAAGTCGCTAGGTTTGCAACTACGTGTCCCAGACTGCATCCCTGCTGAGAGTCCCTCCCTCGCTTCTCATGTTGCAGGAAGAACGTAAGCACCCGCCCCTTGTCAATCAGTCACCATATAATTTTGGATTGGTTGTTGTGGTGAAGTTTTCCACCAATAGGAGAGATGTTGTGGTGTGTTTTTTTCTTTTGGCAAGCCTTTTCCGCCTGTAAGACCTGTCGCTAATGTCTGCATGCTATGTTTTCCTGTCTCATACAGCGCGATCGAGCGCCGAACGTGATCAAAATAAGCAGAAAAAAAGTATCGCGGACATAATTTATCATAACTCTGGTTTTATTTGGCCTATCAACACAATTTAAAAACTGGTATATAGGTTGAGGTCCTCACTTTTGAGATAAGTTGAAACGGAGAGTCAACGAGGCTCCGTCTTGCAGCTACATCCGGTTAAATATGTCATGTGACTTGAACGCACACACAGACACACACACACGCACACACACACACACACACACACACACACACACACACACACACACACACACACACACTCAGAGTCTGGTTTTTAGCACCTGCAAAAACATGCTATTTACATATTTGACAAGAATGCAGAGGCTCCTTTTGCCCCTGAAAAAAATCAAATTTCAAACACAACTTGACTGCTCAATTCTCCAAAAGACAACCATGAAGCTCCATCCAAACCTGAAGCAGGCAGTTGGTGCATGTGTACAGTAACCTGAGGGGAGTGAGGTGAGTGCTTCTGAGGAGAACATGAGCAGTGAAGATTCACCTTGGAGCTAGAACAGAGACATGCACATGATTATACAGGGGCAGGGGCTCAAGTTTTTTCCAGTCGTTTATACAATATGGAAATTAATGTGAAATTAAAACACAAAGTATTAATAGAAAGGTTATGACTGTCCTGTGTAGGTGACAGTGATATCCAATAGGCTAGGCACTCACGAGGCTGGCTGTGGCAAGTGTAAGTGAAAGCAACACGCACTGGCAAGAAGAACAGCAAACGCCGATGAAGGAAAAGGGTCTTTGCAGTGATGGGCGTTACCAGAGAGGGCGATGGCCAGAGGACACAAATGGGACGGGGAGGCAGCACGTTGGGGGGGGACGCGACACGGCTCGGGCCCGCCAGTGCCCCAACGGGGTCCTAGTTTCTTTTTTCTCCCCTTTGAACTGGAAAATGGCCCACTTCCCACTGGCGAAAACTCATGAAATTTGGCAGGACGACCGGGCCTGGTGAAAAATTTGATATTCTGAAGTCGCCCAAACAATACAATGCAAAATGGCTCCATAGCGCCCCCTAAGGTGAAAAATTCACCTGACGCCTGTACGCTTTGTCAAAATGACACAAAAATTGACACACACATGTATCTCAATAAGATCTACAAAAAAGTCAGTGCGGGCGTATCTGTCAAATGTACGGTTAAAGGGTTATTGCGCATTTTTTGCCGATCCGCACACATTGGAATTTCGCTAACTCCTCCGAAGGCTTTCGTTCCACCGGCACCACATTTGCTCAGGCCAATCTACACCCCATGGCCATAAAAAGTTATTCAAATCATGACGCTGCACCCCACGGTTTAGGTTCTAGGGGGCGCCAAAGATAACCCTAAAATCCACATATTTCAAAGTCTTATAACTTTTTATTTTTGTCCTCACTGGCCTCCAAGTTTTCTAGGATGATGCAATGTCCAGCCATCAACACATTTGTGAAGGAATTTTTACTCCCCAAAAGAGCGCCCCCCATGGCAGGAGAAAAAAGTCCATTTTTTCTTGTCCCCTAAGGTGAAAATACACATTGTTGAGTGTCACGCCTATACGCTTTGTCAAAATGACACAAAATTTGACACACACATGTAACTCAATAAGATCTACAAAAAAGTCAATGCGCGCGTATCTGTCAAATGTACAGTTAAAGGGTTATTCCGCATTTTTTGCCGATACGCACACATTGGAATTTCGCTAACTCCTCCGAAGGCTTTCGTTCCACCGGCACCACATTTGCTCAGGCCAATCTACACCCCATGGCCATTAAAAGTTATTCAAATCATGATGCTGCACCCCATGGTTTAGGTTCTAGGGGGCGCCAAAAATAACCCAAAAATCCACATTCTTAAATGTTTTATAACTTTTTATTTTTGTCCTCACTGGCCTCCAAGTTTTCTAGGATGATGCAATGTCCAGCCATCAACACATTTGTGAAGGAATTTTTACTCCCCAAAAGAGCGCCCCCCATGGTAGGAGAAAAAAGTCAATTTTTTCTTGTCCCCTTACATGAAAATACACATTGTTGAGTGTCACGCCTGAACGCTTTGTCATATTGACACAAAAATTGACAATCATGTGTATCTCAATTAGATCTACGAAAAAGTCAAAGAGCGCGTATCTGTATAATGTACGGTTAAAGGGCTATTTTGCATTTTTGCGGATTCGCACACATTGGAATGTGGCTATCTCCTCCTAAGGCTTTCGTCCCACCGATACCAAATTTGCTCAGGGCAATCTACACCCCATGCCCATTCAAAGTTGTAAAAATCATGACGCTGCACCCCACGGTTTACGTTCTAGGGGGCGCCAAAGATGACCCAAAAATCCACATTCTTAAAAGTCATTTTGGCCACTGCAGGAGTACAGAGTACTGCAGTTCTAGGGGGCGCCAAAGATGACCCAAAAATCCACATTCTTAAAAGTCTTTTTGGCCACTGCAGGAGTACAGAGTACTGCAGGATACACACACATATACACACACGCCAACATACACACACACACACACACACACAGACACACACACACACTCAGAGTCTGTTTTTTAGCACCTGCAAAAACATGCTGTTTACATATTTGACAAGAATGCAGAGGCTTCCTTTTGCCCCTGAAAAAAATCAAATTTCAAACACAACTTGACTGTTCATTTCTCCAAAAGACAACCATGAAGCTCCATTTCAAACCTGAAGCAGATAGTTGGTGCATGTGTACAGTAACCTGAGGGGAGTGAGGTGACTATTTCTGAGGAGAACATGAGCAGTGAAGATTCACCTTGGAGCTAGAACAGGGACGTGCACATGATTATACAGGGGCAGGGGCTCAAGTTTTTTCCAGTCATTTATACAATATGGAAATTAATGTGAAATTAAACCACAAATATGTGTGATGAACTGTTTTTAAAACTTAAACTTCAAATAAAAATTGTAAACTTCAAAACATATGCAAATTTTTAACAAAGAACATAGTAATTTACCTCTATTTACATCAAAATGCAGGCAATGGCCCAGGCGTTCTTTGTAAAATTATTTACAAAACACTGTATAGTCTCACAAATGTCACTTTTTATTTATGCCACTACAAAAAAACATGATGTAAATGATGCATGATGTAAAACATGATGTAAAAAACTTGTGTAGATCCTCCTCTATGTCAGTCCATGTGTAATTTTTCCATAATTCTTTGTTTTTTGCAGCATTTTTGTTAGTGTAACTGCAGATTGTGCTGACAGTGTCTATGGCACAAAAAAAAAAAAAAAATTAAAATGCCTCAACATGAACCCCTGGTGGTCTCTGAGGGTGAAACCTGCTAACTGCTGCAGCTCTGTCAGCTTCAGTCTCCCATGCAGAGCTCTGAGCGCATGTGTGGCTCTGCACCCTTAGCAGCGTTGCTAACTCCTCAGTAAGGAAAGCCTGCTTCATGTCAGAGTCTCTAAACTCCAGAAGAAGTCGATAAAAGTCCCTTTCTTTCTAAAAAAAGTCGTTAGGGGGTCTGAAAAGTCATTGAATCTAACAACAAAGTCGCTAGGTTTGCAACTACGTGTCCCAGACTGCATCCCTGCTGAGAGTCCCTCCCTCCCTTCTCATGTTGCAGGAAGAACGTAAGCGCCCGCCCCTTGTCAATCAGTCACCATATAATTTTGGATTGGTTGTTGTGGTGAAGTTTTCCACCAATAGGAGAGATGTTGTGGTGTGTTTTTTTTTTCTTTTGGCAAGCCTTTTCCGCCTGTAAGACCTATCGCTAATGTCTGCATGCTATGTTTTCCTGTCTCATACAGCGCGATCGAGCGCCGAACGTGATCAAAATAAGCAGAAAACAAGTATCGCGGACATAATTTATCATAACTCTGGTTTTATTTGGCCTATCAACACAATTTAAAAACTGGTATATAGGTTGAGGTCCTCACTTTTGAGATAAGTTGAAACGGAGAGTCAACAAGGCTCCGTCTTGCAGCTACATCCGGTTAAATATGTCATGTGACTTGAACGCACACACAGACACACACACACGCACACACACACACACACACACACACACACACACTCAGAGTCTGGTTTTTAGCACCTGCAAAAACATGCTATTTACATATTTGACAAGAATGCAGAGGCTCCTTTTGCCCCTGAAAAAAATCAAATTTCAAACACAACTTGACTGGTCATTTCTCCAAAAGACAACCATGAAGCTCCATCCAAACCTGAAGCAGGCAGTTGGTGCATGTGTACAGTAACCTGAGGGGAGTGAGGTGAGTGCTTCTGAGGAGAACATGAGCAGTGAAGATTCACCTTGGAGCTAGAACAGAGACATGCACATGATTATACAGGGGCAGGGGCTCAAGTTTTTTCCAGTCGTTTATACAATATGGAAATTAATGTGAAATTAAAACACAAAGTATTAATAGAAAGGTAATGACTGTCCTGTGTAGGTGACAGTGATATCCAATAGGCTAGGCACTCACGAGGCTGGCTGTGGCAAGTGTAAGTGAAAGCAACACACACTGGCAGGAAGAACAGCAAACGCCGATTAAGGAAAAGGGTCTTTGCAGTGATGGGTGTTAACAGAGAGGGCGATGGCCAGAGGACACAAATGGGACGGGGAGGCAGCACGTTGGGGGGGGGGGACGCGACACGGCTCGGGCCCGCCAGTGCCCCAACGGGGTCCTAGTCTTTGTTTCTTTCTTTAGGGCCCGAGCGTAGCTGCTAAGCAGCTGCGAGAGCCCTCTTGTTCCTGCATGTTTCCTTCTTTCGTTATTATTTTTCCTCCGCTTTAAACTGGAAAATGGCCCACTTCCCACTGGCGAAAACTCAGGAAATTTGGCAGGACGACCGGGCCTGGTGAAAAATTCGATATTCTGAAGTCGCCCAAACAATAAAATGCAAAATGGCTCCATAGCGCCCCCTAAGGTGAAAATTCACATGACGGCTGTACGCTTTGTCATATTGACACAAAAATTGACACACACATGTATCTCAATAAGATCTACAAAAAAGTCAGTGCGGGCGTATCTGTCAAATGTACGGTTAATGGGTTATTTTGCATTTTTTGCAGATCTGCACACATTGGAATTTCGCTAACTCCTCCGAAGGCTTTCGTTCGACCGGCACCACATTTGCGCAGGCCAATCTACCCCCCATGGCCATTAAAAGTTGTACAAATCATGACGCTGCACCCCACGGTTTACGTTCTAGGGGGCGCCAAAGATAACCCAAAATCCACATTCTTAAAAGTCTTATAACTTTTTATTTTTGTCCTCACTGCCCTCCAAGTTTTCTAGGATGATGCAATGTCCAGCCATCAACACATTTGTGAAGGAATTTTTACTCCCCAAAAGAACGCCCCCCCATGGCAGGAGAAAAAAGTCAATTTTTTCTTGTCCCCTTACATGAAAATACACATTGTTGAGTGTCACGCCTGAACGCTTTGTCATATTGACACAAAAATTGACAATCATGTGTATCTCAATTAGATCTACGAAAAAGTCAAAAGCGCGTATCTGTATAATGTACGGTTAAAGGGCTATTTCGCATTTTTTGCCGATTCGCACACATTGGAATGTGGCTATCTCCTCCTAAGGCTTTCGTCCCACCGATACCAAATTTGCTCAGGGCAATCTACACCCCATGCCCATTCAAAGTTGTAAAAATCATGACGCTGCACCCCACGGTTTACGTTCTAGGGGACGCCAAAGATGACCCAAAGATCCACATTCTTAAAAGTCATTTTGGCCACTGCAGGAGTACAGAGTACTGCAGTTCTAGGGGGCGCCAAAGATGACCCAAAAATCCACATTCTTAAAAGTCTTTTTGGCCACTGCAGGAGTACAGAGTACTGCAGGATACACACACATATACACACACACACACACACACACACACACACACACACACACACACACACACTCAGAGTCTGTTTTTTAGCACCTGCAAAAACATGCTGTTTACATATTTGACAAGAATGCAGAGGCTTCCTTTTGCCCCTGAAAAAAATCAGATTTCAAACACAACTTGACTGTTCATTTCTCCAAAAGACAACCATGAAGCTCCATCCAAACCTGAAGCAGATAGTTGGTGCATGTGTACAGTAACCTGAGGGGAGTGAGGTGACTATTTCTGAGGAGAACATGAGCAGTGAAGATTCACCTTGGAGCTAGAACAGGGACGTGCACATGATTATACAGGGGCAGGGGCTCAAGTTTTTTCCAGTCATTTATACAATATGGAAATTAATGTGAAATTAAACCACAAATATGTGTGATGAACTGTTTTTAAAACTTAAACTTCAAATAAAAATTGTAAACTTCAAAACATATGCAAATTTTTAACAAAGAACATAGTAATTTACCTCTATTTACATCAAAATGCAGGCAATGGCCCAGGCGTTCTTTGTAAAATTATTTACAAAACACTGTATAGTCTCACAAATGTCACTTTTTATTTATGCCACTACAAAAAAACATGATGTAAATGATGCATGATGTAAAACATGATGTAAAAAACTTGTGTAGATCCTCCTCTATGTCAGTCCATGTGTAATTTTTCCATAATTCTTTGTTTTTTGCAGCATTTTTGTTAGTGTAACTGCAGATTGTGCTGACAGTGTCTATGGCACAAAAAAAAAAAAAATTTAAAATGCCTCAACATGAACCCCTGGTGGTCTCTGAGGGTGAAACCTGCTAACTGCTGCAGCTCTGTCAGCTTCAGTCTCCCATGCAGAGCTCTGAGCGCATGTGTGGCTCTGCACCCTTAGCAGCGTTGCTAACTCCTCAGTAAGGAAAGCCTGCTTCATGTCAGAGTCTCTAAACTCCAGAAGAAGTCGATAAAAGTCACTTTCTTTCTAAAAAAAAGTCGTTAGGGGGTCTGAAAAGTCATTGAATCTAACAACAAAGTCGCTAGGTTTGCAACTACGTGTCCCAGACTGCATCCCTGCTGAGAGTCCCTCCCTCGCTTCTCATGTTGCAGGAAGAACGTAAGCGCCCTCCCCTTGTCAATCAGTCACCATATAATTTTGGATTGGTTGTTGTGGTGAAGTTTTCCACCAATAGGAGAGATGTTGTGGTGTGTTTTTTTTTTCTTTTGGCAAGCCTTTTCCGCCTGTAAGACCTGTCGCTAATGTCTGCATGCTATGTTTTCCTGTCTCATACAGCGCGATCGAGCGCCGAACGTGATCAAAATAAGCAGAAAAAAAGTATCGCGGACATAATTTATCATAACTCTGGTTTTATTTGGCCTATCAACACAATTTAAAAACTGGTATATAGGTTGAGGTCCTCACTTTTGAGATAAGTTGAAACGGAGAGTCAACGAGGCTCCGTCTTGCAGCTACATCCGGTTAAATATGTCATGTGACTTGAATGCACACACAGACACACACACACACACGCACACACACACACACACACTCAGAGTCTGGTTTTTAGCACCTGCAAAAACATGCTATTTACATATTTGACAAGAATGCAGAGGCTCCTTTTGCCCCTGAAAAAAATCAAATTTCAAACACAACTTGACTGGTCATTTCTCCAAAAGACAACCATGAAGCTCCATCCAAACCTGAAGCAGGCAGTTGGTGCATGTGTACAGTAACCTGAGGGGAGTGAGGTGAGTGCTTCTGAGGAGAACATGAGCTGTGAAGATTCACCTTGGAGCTAGAACAGAGACATGCACATGATTATACAGGGGCAGGGGCTCAAGTTTTTTCCAGTCGTTTATACAATATGGAAATTAATGTGAAATTAAAACACAAAGTATTAATAGAAAGGTAATGACTTTCCTGTGTAGGTGACAGTGATATCCAATAGGCTAGGCACTCACGAGGCTGGCTGTGGCAAGTGTAAGTGAAAGCAACACGCACTGGCAAGAAGAACAGCAAACGCCGATGAAGGAAAAGGGTCTTTGCAGTGATGGGCGTTACCAGAGAGGGCGATGGCCAGAGGACACAAATGGGACGGGGAGGCAGCACGTTGGGGGGGGGACGCGACACGGCTCGGGCCCGCCAGTGCCCCAACGGGGTCCTAGTTGTTTCTTTCTTAGGGCCCGAGCGTAGCTGCTAAGCAGCTGCGAGAGCCCTATTATTCCCCAAGTGGTTTTTCTTTGTTTCTTTCTTTCTTCTTTTTCCTCCCCTTTGAACTGGAAAATGGCCCACTTCCCACTGGCGAAAACTCATGAAATTTGGCAGGATGACCGGGCCTGGTGAAAAATTTGATATTCCGAAGTCGCCCAAACAAGAAAATGCAAAATGGCTCCATAGCGCCCCCTAAGGTGAAAATTCACACTATTGACGGTCACGCCTTTACGCTTTGTCATATTGACACAAAAATTGACACACACATGTATCTCAATAAGATCTACAAAAAAGTCAGTGCGGGCATATCTGTCAAATGTACGGTTAAAGGGTTATTCCGCATTTTTTGCCGATCCGCACACATTGGAATTTCGCTAACTCCTCCGAAGGCTTTCGTTCCACCGGCACCACATTTGCTCAGGCCAATCTACACCCCATGGCCATTAAAAGTTATTCAAATCATGACGCTGCACCCCACGGTTTAGGTTCTAGGGGGCGCCAAAGATAACCCTAAAATCCACATATTTAAAAGTCTTATAACTTTTTATTTTTGCCCTCACTGGCCTCCAAGTTTTCTAGGATGATGCAATGTCCAGCCATCAACACATTTGTGAAGGAATTTTTAATCCCCAAAAGAGCGCCCCCCCATGGCAGGAGAAAAAAGTCCATTTTTTCTTGTCCCCTAAGGTGAAAATACACATTGTTGAGTGTCACGCCTGTACGCTTTGTCATATTGACACAAAATTTGACACACACATGTATCTCAATAAGATCTACGAAAAAGTCAATGCGCGCGTATCTGTCAAATGTACGGTTAAAGGGTTATTCCGCATTTTTTGCTGATCCGCACACATTGGAATTTCGCTAACTCCTCCTAAGGCTGGCGTTCCACCGGCACCACATTTGCTCAGGCCAATCTACACCCCATGGCCATTAAAAGTTATTCAAATCATGACGCTAGACCCCACGGTTTAGGTTCTAGGGGGCGCCAAAGATAACCCTAAAATCCACATATTTCAAAGTCTTATAACTTTTTATTTTTGCCCTCACTGGCCTCCAAATTTTCTAGGATGATGCAATGTCCAGCCATCAACACATTTGTGAAGGAATTTTTAATCCCCAAAAGAGCGCCCCCCCATGGCAGGAGAAAAAAGTCCATTTTTTCTTGTCCCATAAGATGAAAAAACACATTGTTGACTGTCATACCTGTACGCTTTGTCATATTGACACAAAATTTGACAATCACATGTATCTCAATAAGATCTACGAAAAAGTCAATGCGCGCGTATCTGTAAAATGTACGGTTAAAGGGCTATTTTGCATTTTTTGCCGATTCGCACACATTGGAATGTGGCTAACTCCTCCTAAGGCTTTCGTCCCACTGACACCAAATTTGCTCAGGCCAATCTACACCCCATGGCCATTCAAAGTTGTAAAAATCATGACGCTGCACCCCACGGTTTACGTTCTAGGGGGCGCCAAAGATGACCCAAATATCCACATTCTTAAAAGAATCCACATCCCCCCCCCCATCCCCCAACCCCCATGGCAGGAGAAACAGTCAAGTTTTTCCTGCCCATCACTCAATGGCTCAATCGCATCACTCTCCCGGCAACACCGTAACGAGGAGCAACTTGCCGTTTGGATATATCCTAGCTGTGTTTGTGCCCTCACTCATGGTCCAGACTTTTTTCAAATAGGACATGTAGTTTGTCTGCAGCGAGTGTTTTGGTAGAAACTGCGCCTCCCATTCATTATAATGGGAAATGACCACAGACAAGTGCGCACACCATCTTTGGACCTTGAGTGTGACGCGATCGGGAGGGGGAGGCGGTCGCGCTGGGGGCGGCGCAACGCGGCTCGGGCCCGACAGTGCCCCACCGGGGCCCTAGTTAGGGCCCGAGCGTAGCTGCTAAGCAGCTGCGAGAGCCCTCTTGTTCCTGTAGTTTCCTTCTTTTTAGGGCCCGAGCGTAGCTGCTAAGCAGCTGCGAGAGCCCTCTTGTTCCTGTAGTTTCCTTCTTTTTAGGGCCCGAGCGTAGCTGCTAAGCAGCTGCGAGAGCCCTATTATTCCCCAAGGGGTTTTTTAGGGCCCGAGCCAGCTGCAGAGCAGCCGGGCGTAGGCCCTATTATTCCCCAAGTGGTTTTTTAGGGCCCGAGCGTAGCTGCTAAGCAGCTGCGAGAGCCCTATTATTCCCCAAGTGGTTTTTCTTTGTTTCTTTTTAGGGCCCGAGCGTAGCTGCTAAGCAGCTGCGAGAGCCCTATTATTCCCCAAGTGGTTTTTCTTTGTTTCTTTCTTTCTTCTTTTTCCTCCCCTTTGAACTGGAAAATGGCCCACTTCCCACTGGCGAAAACTCATGAAATTTGGCAGGATGACCGGGCCTGGTGAAAAATTTGATATTCCGAAGTCGCCCAAACAAGAAAATGCAAAATGGCTCCATAGCGCCCCCTAAGGTGAAAATTCACACTATTGACGGTCACGCCTTTACGCTTTGTCATATTGACACAAAAATTGACACACACATGTATCTCAATAAGATCTACAAAAAAGTCAGTGCGGGCATATCTGTCAAATGTACGGTTAAAGGGTTATTCCGCATTTTTTGCCGATCCGCACACATTGGAATTTCGCTAACTCCTCCGAAGGCTTTCGTTCCACCGGCACCACATTTGCTCAGGCCAATCTACACCCCATGGCCATTAAAAGTTATTCAAATCATGACGCTGCACCCCACGGTTTAGGTTCTAGGGGGCGCCAAAGATAACCCTAAAATCCACATATTTAAAAGTCTTATAACTTTTTATTTTTGCCCTCACTGGCCTCCAAGTTTTCTAGGATGATGCAATGTCCAGCCATCAACACATTTGTGAAGGAATTTTTAATCCCCAAAAGAGCGCCCCCCATGGCAGGAGAAAAAAGTCCATTTTTTCTTGTCCCCTAAGGTGAAAATACACATTGTTGAGTGTCACGCCTGTACGCTTTGTCATATTGACACAAAATTTGACACACGCATGTATCTCAATAAGATCTACGAAAAAGTCAATGCGCGCGTATCTGTCAAATGTACGGTTAAAGGGTTATTCCGCATTTTTTGCTGATCCGCACACATTGGAATTTCGCTAACTCCTCCTAAGGCTGGCGTTCCACCGGCACCACATTTGCTCAGGCCAATCTACACCCCATGGCCATTAAAAGTTATTCAAATCATGACGCTAGACCCCACGGTTTAGGTTCTAGGGGGCGCCAAAGATAACCCTAAAATCCACATATTTCAAAGTCTTATAACTTTTTATTTTTGCCCTCACTGGCCTCCAAATTTTCTAGGATGATGCAATGTCCAGCCATCAACACATTTGTGAAGGAATTTTTAATCCCCAAAAGAGCGCCCCCCCATGGCAGGAGAAAAAAGTCCATTTTTTCTTGTCCCATAAGATGAAAAAACACATTGTTGACTGTCATACCTGTACGCTTTGTCATATTGACACAAAATTTGACAATCACATGTATCTCAATAAGATCTACGAAAAAGTCAATGCGCGCGTATCTGTAAAATGTACGGTTAAAGGGCTATTTTGCATTTTTTGCCGATTCGCACACATTGGAATGTGGCTAACTCCTCCTAAGGCTTTCGTCCCACTGACACCAAATTTGCTCAGGCCAATCTACACCCCATGGCCATTCAAAGTTGTAAAAATCATGACGCTGCACCCCACGGTTTACGTTCTAGGGGGCGCCAAAGATGACCCAAATATCCACATTCTTAAAAGAATCCACATCCCCCCCCCATCCCCCAACCCCCATGGCAGGAGAAACAGTCAAGTTTTTCCTGCCCATCACTCAATGGCTCAATCGCATCACTCTCCCGGCAACACCGTAACGAGGAGCAACTTGCCGTTTGGATATATCCTAGCTGTGTTTGTGCCCTCACTCATGGTCCAGACTTTTTTCAAATAGGACATGTAGTTTGTCTGCAGCGAGTGTTTTGGTAGAAACTGCGCCTCCCATTCATTATAATGGGAAATGACCACAGACAAGTGCGCACACCATCTTTGGACCTTGAGTGTGACGCGATCGGGAGGGGGAGGCGGTCGCGCTGGGGGCGGCGCAACGCGGCTCGGGCCCGACAGTGCCCCACCGGGGCCCTAGTTAGGGCCCGAGCGTAGCTGCTAAGCAGCTGCGAGAGCCCTCTTGTTCCTGCATGTTTCCTTCTTTTGTTATTAGGGCCCGAGCCAGCTGCAGAGCAGCCGGGCGTAGGCCCTATTATTCCCCAAGTGGTTTTTCTTTGTTTCTTTCTTTCTTTTTAGGGCCCGAGCCAGCTGCAGAGCAGCCGGGCGTAGGCCCTATTATTCCCCAAGTGGTTTTTCTTTGTTTCTTTCTTTCTTTTTTCTTTTTCCTCCCCTTTGAACTGGAAAATGGCCCACTTCCCACTGGCGAAAACTCATGAAATTTGGCAGGACGACCGGGCCTGGTGAAAAATTCGATATTCTGAAGTCGCCCAAACAATAAAATGCAAAATGGCTCCATAGCGCCCCCTAAGGTGGAAATTCACACTATTGACTGTCACGCCTGTACGCTTTGTCATATTGACACAAAAATTGACACACATATGTATCTCAATAAGATCTACAAAAAAGTCAGTGCGGCCGTATCTGTCAAAATTACGGTTAAAGGGTTATTTCGCATTTTTTGCCGATCCGCACACATTGGAATTTCGCTAACTCCTCCGAAGGCTTTCGTTCCACCGGCACCACATTTGCTCAGGCCAATCTACACCCCGTGGCCATTAAAAGTTATCAAAATCATGACGCTGCACCCCAAGGTTTAGGTTCTAGGGGGCGCCAAAGATAACCCTAAAATCCACATATTTAAAAGTCTTATAACTTTTTATTTTTGTCCTCACTGGCCTCCAAGTTTTCTAGGATGATGCAATGTCCAGCCATCAACACATTTGTGAAGGAATTTTTACTCCCCAAAAGAGCGCCCCCCCATGGCAGGAGAAAAAAGTCCATTTTTTCTTGTCCCCTAAGGTGAAAATACACATTGTTGAGTGTCACGCCTATACGCTTTGTCAAAATGACACAAAAATTGACACACACATGTAACTCAATAAGATCTACGAAAAAGTCAATGCGCGCGTATCTGTAAAATGTACGGTTAAAGGGCTATTTTGCATTTTTTGCCGATTCGCACACATTGGAATGTGGCTATCTCCTCCTAAGGCTTTCGTCCCACTGACACCAAATTTGCTCAGGCCAATCTACACCCCATGGCCATTCAAAGTTGTAAAAATCATGACGCTGCACCCCACGGTTTACGTTCTAGGGGGCGCCAAAGATGACCCAAATATCCACATTCTTAAAAGAATCCACATCCCCCCCCATCCCCCATCCCCCATGGCAGGAGAAACAGTCAAGTTTTTCCTGCCCATCACTCAATGGCTCATTCGCATCACTCTCCCGGCAACACCGTAACGAGGAGCAACTTGCCGTTTGGATATATCCTAGCTGTGTTTGTGCCCTCACTCATGGTCCAGACTTTTTTCAAATAGGACATGTAGTTTGTCTGCAGCGAGTGTTTTGGTAGAAACTGCGCCTCCCATTCATTATAATGGGAAATGACCACAGACAAGTGCGCACACCATCTTTGGACCTTGAGTGTGACGCAATCGGGAGGGGTAGGCGGTCGCGCTGGGGGCGGCGCAACGCGGCTCGGGCCCGACAGTGCCCCACCGGGGTCCTAGTTTCTTTTTCCTCCCCTTTGAACTGGAAAATGGCCCACTTCCCACTGGCGAAAACTCATGAAATTTGGCAGGACGACCGGGCCTGGTGAAAAATTTGATATTCTGAAGTCGCCCAAACAATAAAATGCAAAATGGCTCCATAGCGCCCCCTAAGGTGAAAATTCACACTATTGACTGTCACGCCTGTACGCTTTGTCATATTGACACAAAAATTGACACACATATGTATCTCAATAAGATCTACAAAAAAGTCAGTGCGGCCGTATCTGTCAAAATTACGGTTAAAGGGTTATTTTGCATTTTTTGCCGATCCGCACACATTGGAATTTCGCTAACTCCTCCGAAGGCTTTCGTTCCACCGGCACCACATTTGCTCAGGCCAATCTACACCCCGTGGCCATTAAAAGTTATCAAAATCATGACGCTGCACCCCAAGGTTTAGGTTCTAGGGGGCGCCAAAGATAACACTAAAATCCACATATTTAAAAGTCTTATAACTTTTTATTTTTGTCCTCACTGGCCTCCAAGTTTTCTAGGATGATGCAATGTCCAGCCATCAACACATTTGTGAAGGAATTTTTACTCCCCAAAAGAGCGCCCCCCCATGGCAGGAGAAAAAATTCCATTTTTTCTTGTCCCCTAAGGTGAAAATACACATTGTTGAGTGTCACGCCTATACGCTTTGTCAAAATGACACAAAAATTGACACACACATGTAACTCAATAAGATCTACGAAAAAGTCAATGCGCCCATATCTGTCAAATGTACGGTTAAAGGGTTATTCCGCATTTTTTGCCGATCCGCACACATTGGAATTTCGCTAACTCCTCCTAAGGCTTTCGTTCCACCGGCACCACATTTGCTCAGGCCAATCTACACCCCATGGCCATTAAAAGTTATCAAAATCATGACGCTGCACCCCACGGTTTAGGTTCTAGGGGGCGCCAAAGATAACCCTAAAATCCACATATTTAAAAGTCTTATAACTTTTTATTTTTGTCCTCACTGGCCTCCAAGTTTTCTAGGATGATGCAATGTCCAGCCATCAACACATTTGTGAAGGAATTTTTACTCCCCAAAAGAGCGCCCCCCCATGGCAGGAGAAAAAAGTCCATTTTTTCTTGTCCCCTAAGGTGAAAATACACATTGTTGAGTGTCACGCCTATACGCTTTGTCAAAATGACACAAAAATTGACACACACATGTAACTCAAGAAGATCTACGAAAAAGTCAATGCGCGCATATCTGTCAAATGTACGGTTAAAGGGTTATTCCGCATTTTTTGCCGATCCGCACACATTGGAATTTCGCTTACTCCTCCTAAGGCTTTCGTTCCACCGGCACCACATTTTCTCAGGCCAATCTACACCCCATGGCCATTAAAAGTTATCAAAATCATGACGCTGCACCCCACGGTTTAGGTTCTAGGGGGCGCCAAAGATAACCCTAAAATCCACATATTTAAAAGTCTTATAACTTTTTATTTTTGTCCTCACTGGCCTCCAAGTTTTCTAGGATGATGCAATGTCCAGCCATCAACACATTTGTGAAGGAATTTTTACTCCCCAAAAGAGCGCCCCCCCATGGCAGGAGAAAAAAGTCCATTTTTTCTTGTCCTCTAAGGTGAAAATACATATTGTTGAGATTCACGCCTATACGCTTTGTCATATTGACACAACATTTGACAATCACGTGCCTTGCCTGGTATCATTTTTTTCAGCACAACCTCACCTGTGCGAATTTACAGTTATTTTATCATGTTGACATACTGAATTTACACAATGGACCCAAATTCACACACAAAACATAAAATCCGAGTGGAAAAAAGTAACATTTTTACTGTGAAAACCACAAATATGTGTGATGAACTGTTTTTAAAACTTAAACTTCAAATAAAAATTGTAAACTTCAAAACATATGCAAATTTTTAACAAAGAACATAGTGATTTACCTCTATTTACATCAAAATGCAGGCAATGGCCCAGGCGTTCTTTGTAAAATTATTTACAAAACACTGTATAGTCTCACAAATGTCACTTTTTATTTATGCCACTACAAAAAAACATGATGTAAATGATGCATGATGTAAAACATGATGTAAAAAACTTGTGTAGATCCTCCTCTATGTCAGTCCATGTGTAATTTTTCCATAATTCTTTGTTTTTTGCAGCATTTTTGTTAGTGTAACTGCAGATTGTGCTGACAGTGTCTATGGCACAAAAAAAAAAAATTAATTAAAATGCCTCAACATGAACCCCTGGTGGTCTCTGAGGGTGAAACCTGCTAACTGCTGCAGCTCTGTCAGCTTCAGTCTCCCATGCAGAGCTCTGAGCGCATGTGTGGCTCTGCACCCTTAGCAGCGTTGCTAACTCCTCAGTAAGGAAAGCCTGCTTCATGTCAGAGTCTCTAAACTCCAGAAGAAGTCGATAAAAGTCCCTTTCTTTCTAAAAAAAAGTCGTTAGGGGGTCTGAAAAGTCATTGAATCTAACAACAAAGTCGCTAGGTTTGCAACTACGTGTCCCAGACTGCATCCCTGCTGAGAGTCCCTCCCTCCCTTCTCATGTCGCAGGAAGAACGTAAGCGCCCCCCTTGTCAATCAGTCACCATATAATTTTGGATTGGTTGTTGTGGTGAAGTTTTCCACCAATAGGAGAGATGTTGTGGTGTGTTTTTTTTTTCTTTTGGCAAGCCTTTTCCGCCTGTAAGAGCTGTCGCTAATGTCTGCATGCTATGTTTTCCTGTCTCATACAGCGCGATCGAGCGCCGAACGTGATCAAAATAAGCAGAAAACAAGTATCGCGGACATAATTTATCATAACTCTGGTTTTATTTGGCCTATCAACACAATTTAAAAACTGGTATATAGCTTGAGGTCCTCACTTTTGAGATAAGTTGAAACGGAGAGTCAACGAGGCTCCGTCTTGCAGCTACATCCGGTTAAATATGTCATGTGACTTGAACGCACACACAGACACACACACACGCACACACACACACACACACACACACACACACACACACACACACACACACACACACACTCAGAGTCTGGTTTTTAGCACCTGCAAAAACATGCTATTTACATATTTGACAAGAATGCAGAGGCTCCTTTTGCCCCTGAAAAAAATCAAATTTCAAACACAACTTGACTGGTCATTTCTCCAAAAGACAACCATGAAGCTCCATCCAAACCTGAAGCAGGCAGTTGGTGCATGTGTACAGTAACCTGAGGGGAGTGAGGTGAGTGCTTCTGAGGAGAACATGAGCAGTGAAGATTCACCTTGGAGCTAGAACAGAGACATGCACATGATTATACAGGGGCAGGGGCTCAAGTTTTTTCCAGTCGTTTATACAATATGGAAATTAATGTGAAATTAAAACACAAAGTATTAATAGAAAGGTAATGACTGTCCTGTGTAGGTGACAGTAATATCCAATAGGCTAGGCACTCACGAGGCTGGCTGTGGCAAGTGTAAGTGAAAGCAACACGCACTGGCAGGAAGAACAGCAAACGCCGATGAAGGAAAAGGGTCTTTGCAGTGATGGGCGTTAACAGAGAGGGCGATGGCCAGAGGACACAAATGGGACGGGGAGGCAGCACGTTGGGGGGGGGGGGGGGATGCGACACGGCTCGGGCCCGCCAGTGCCCCAACGGGGTCCTAGTTAGGGCCCGAGCGTAGCTGCTAAGCAGCTGCGAGAGCCCTCTTGTTCCTGTAGTTTCCTTCTTTTGTTATTATTATTTTTCCTCCCCTTTGAACTGGAAAATGGCCCACTTCCCACTGGCGAAAACTCAGGAAATTTGGCAGGACGACCGGGCCTGGTGAAAAATTTGATATTCCGAAGTCGCCCAAACAAGAAAATGCAAAATGGCTCCATAGCGCCCCCTAAGGTGAAAATTCACACTATTGACTGTCACGCCTGTACGCTTTGTCAAAATGACACAAAAATTGACACACACATGTATCTCAATAAGATCTACAAAAAAGTCAGTGCGGGCATATCTGTCAAATGTACGGTTAAAGGGTTATTTCGCATTTTTTGCCGATCCGCACACATTGGAATTTCGCTAACTCCTCCGAAGGCTTTCGTTCCACCGGCACCACATTTGCTCAGGCCAATCTACACCCCATGGCCATTAAAAGTTATTCAAATCATGACGCTGCACCCCACGGTTTAGGTTCTAGGGGGCGCCAAAGATAACCCTAAGATCCACATATTTAAAAGTCTTATAACTTTTTATTTTTGCCCTCACTGGCCTCCAAGTTTTCTAGGATGATGCAATGTCCAGCCATCAACACATTTGTGAAGGAATTTTTACTCCCCAAAAGAGCGCCCCCCCATGGCAGGAGAAAAAAGTCCATTTTTTCTTGTCCCCTAAGGTGAAAATACACATTGTTGAGTGTAACACCTGTACGCTTTGGCAAAATGACACAAAAATTGACACACACATGTATCTCAATAAGATCTACGAAAAAGTCAATGCGCGCGTATCTGTCAAATGTACGGTTAAAGGGTTATTCTGCATTTTTTGCCGATCCGCACACATTGGAATTTCGCTAACTCCTCCGAAGGCTTTCGTTCCACCGGCACCACATTTGCTCAGGCCAATCTACACCCCATGGCCATTAAAAGTTATTCAAATCATGACGCTGCACCCCACGGTTTAGGTTCTAGGGGGCGCCAAAGATAACCCTAAAATCCACATATTTAAAAGTCTTATAACTTTTTATTTTTGTCCTCACTGGCCTCCAAGTTTTCTAGGATGATGCAATGTCCAGCCATCAACACATTTGTGAAGGAATTTTTACTCCCCAAAAGAGCGCCCCCCCATGGCAGGAGAAAAAAGTCCATTTTTTCTTGTCCCCTAAGGTGGAAATTCACACTATTGACTGTCACGCCTGTACGCTTTATCATATTGACACAAAAATTGACACACATATGTATCTCAATAAGATCTACAAAAAAGTCAATGCGCGCGTATCTGTCAAATGTACGGTTAAAGGGCTATTTTGCATTTTTTGCCGATTCGCACACATTGGAATGTGGCTAACTCCTCCTAAGGCTTTCGTTCCACCGGCACCACATTTGCTCAGGCCAATCTACACCCCATGGCCATTAAAAGTTATTCAAATCATGACGCTGCACCCCACGGTTTAGGTTCTAGGGGGCGCCAAAGATAACCCTAAAATCCACATATTTAAAAGTCTTATAACTTTTTATTTTTGTCCTCACTGGCCTCCAAGTTTTCTAGGATGATGCAATGTCCAGCCATCAACACATTTGTGAAGGAATTTTTACTCCCCAAAAGAGCGCCCCCCCATGGCAGGAGAAAAAAGTCCATTTTTTCTTGTCCCCTAAGGTGAAAATACATATTGTTGAGATTCACGCCTATACGCTTTGTCATATTGACACAAAATTTGACAATCACGTGCCTTGCCTGGTATCATTTTTTTTCAGCACAACCTCACCTGTGCGAATTTACAGTTATTTTATCATGTTGACATACTGAATTTACACAATGGACCCAAATTCACACACAAAACATAAAATCCGAGTGGAAAAAAGTAACATTTTTACTGTGAAAACCACAAATATGTGTGATGAACTGTTTTTAAAACTTAAACTTCAAATAAAAATTGTAAACTTCAAAACATATGCAAATTTTTAACAAAGAACATAGTGATTTACCTCTATTTACATCAAAATGCAGGCAATGGCCCAGGCGTTCTTTGTAAAATTATTTACAAAACACTGTATAGTCTCACAAATGTCACTTTTTATTTATGCCACTACAAAAAAACATGATGTAAATGATGCATGATGTAAAACATGATGTAAAAAACTTGTGTAGATCCTCCTCTATGTCAGTCCATGTGTAATTTTTCCATAATTCTTTGTTTTTTGCAGCATTTTTGTTAGTGTAACTGCAGATTGTGCTGACAGTGTCTATGGCACAAAAAAAAAAAAAAAATTAAAATGCCTCAACATGAACCCCTGGTGGTCTCTGAGGGTGAAACCTGCTAACTGCTGCAGCTCTGTCAGCTTCAGTCTCCCATGCAGAGCTCTGAGCGCATGTGTGGCTCTGCACCCTTAGCAGCGTTGCTAACTCCTCAGTAAGGAAAGCCTGCTTCATGTCAGAGTCTCTAAACTCCAGAAGAAGTCGATAAAAGTCCCTTTCTTTCTAAAAAAAAGTCGTTAGGGGGTCTGAAAAGTCATTGAATCTAACAACAAAGTCGCTAGGTTTGCAACTACGTGTCCCAGACTGCATCCCTGCTGAGAGTCCCTCCCTCCCTTCTCATGTTGCAGGAAGAACGTAAGCGCCCTCCCCTTGTCAATCAGTCACCATATAATTTTGGATTGGTTGTTGTGGTGAAGTTTTCCACCAATAGGAGAGATGTTGTGGTGTGTTTTTTTTTTCTTTAGGCAAGCCTTTTCCGCCTGTAAGACCTGTCGCTAATGTCTGCATGCTATGTTTTCCTGTCTCATACAGCGCGATCGAGCGCCGAACGTGATCAAAATAAGCAGAAAAAAAGTATCGCGGACATAATTTATCATAACTCTGGTTTTATTTGGCCTATCAACACAATTTAAAAACTGGTATATAGGTTGAGGTCCTCACTTTTGAGATAAGTTGAAACGGAGAGTCAACGAGGCTCCGTCTTGCAGCTACATCCGGTTAAATATGTCATGTGACTTGAACGCACACACAGACACACACACACGCACACACACACACACACACACACTCAGAGTCTGGTTTTTAGCACCTGCAAAAACATGCTATTTACATATTTGACAAGAATGCAGAGGCTCCTTTTGCCCCTGAAAAAAATCAAATTTCAAACACAACTTGACTGGTCATTTCTCCAAAAGACAACCATGAAGCTCCATCCAAACCTGAAGCAGGCAGTTGGTGCATGTGTACAGTAACCTGAGGGGAGTGAGGTGAGTGCCTCTGAGGAGAACATGAGCAGTGAAGATTCACCTTAGAGCTAGAACAGAGACATGCACATGATTATACAGGGGCAGGGGCTCAAGTTTTTTCCAGTCATTTATACAATATGGAAATTAATGTGAAATTAAAACACAAAGTATTAATAGAAAGGTAATGACTGTCCTGTGTAGGTGACAGTGATATCCAATAGGCTAGGCACTCACGAGGCTGGCTGTGGCAAGTGTAAGTGAAAGCAACACGCACTGGCAGGAAGAACAGCAAACGCCGATGAAGGAAAAGGGTCTTTGCAGTGATGGGCGTTACCAGAGAGGGCGATGGCCAGAGGACGCGAATGGGACGGGGAGGCAGCATGTTGGGGGGGGGACGCGACACGGCTCGGGCCCGCCAGTGCCCCAGCGGGGTCCTAGTTATTATTTTTCCTCCGCTTTAAACTGGAAAATGGCCCACTTCCCACTGGCGAAAACTCAGGAAATTTGGCAGGACGACCGGGCCTGGTGAAAAATTCGATATTCTGAAGTCGCCCAAACAATAAAATGCAAAATGGCTCCATAGCGCCCCCTAAGGTGAAAATTCACACTATTGACTGTCACGCCTGTACGCTTTGTCATATTGACACAAAAATTGACACACACATGTATCTCAATAAGATCTACAAAAAAGTCAGTGCGGGCATATCTGTCAAATGTACGGTTAAAGGGTTATTGCGCATTTTTTGCCGATCCGCACACATTGGAATTTCGCTAACTCCTCCGAAGGCTTTCGTTCCACCGGCACCACATTTGCTCAGGCCAATCTACACTCCATGGCCATTCAAAGTTGTACAAATCATGACGCTGCACCCCACGGTTTAGGTTCTAGGGGGCGCCAAAAATAACCCAAAAATCCACATTCTTAAAAGTTTTATAACTTTTTTTTTTTGTCCTCACTGGCCTCCAAGTTTTCTAGGATGATGCAATGTCCAGCCATCAACACATTTGTGAAGGAATTTTTACTCCCCAAAAGAGCGCCCTCCCATGGCAGGACAAAAAAGTCAATTTTTTCTTGTCCCCTAAGGTGAAAATACACATTGTTGAGATTCACGCCTGTACGCTTTGTCATATTGACAAAAAATTTGACACACACGTGTATCTCAATAAGATCTACGAAAAAGTCAATGCACGCGTATCTGTAAACTGTACGGCTAAAGGGCTATTTTGCATTTTTTGCCGATTCGCACACATTGGAATGTGGCTGACTCCTCCTAAGGATTTCGTCCCACTGACAACAAATTTGCTCAGGCCAATCTACACCCCATGGCCATTAAAAGTTGTAAAAATCATGACGCTGCACCCCATGGTTTACGTTCTAGGGGGCGCCAAAGAGGACCCAAAAATCCACATTCTTAAAAGTCTTAGAACTTTTTATTTTTGTCCTCACTGGCCTCCAAGTTTTCTAGGATGATGCAATGTCTAGCCATCAACACATTTGTGAAGGAATTTTTACTCCCCAAAACAGCGCCCCCCCATGGCCGGAGAAAAAGTCAAGTTTTTCCTGCCCATCGCTCAATGGCTCAATCGCATCGCTCTCCAGGCAACACCGTAAGGAGGAGCAACCTGCCATTTGGATATATCCTAGCTGTGTTTGTGCCCTCACTCATGGTCCAGACTTTTTTCAAATAGGACATGTAGTTTGTCTGCAGCGAGCGTTTTGGTAGAAACTGCGCCTCCCATTCATTATAATGGTAAATGACCACAGACAAGTGCGAACACCATCTTTGGACCTTGAGTGTGACGCGATCGGGAGGGAGAGGCGGTCGTGTTGGGGGCAGCGCGACACAGCTCGGGCCCGCCAGTGCCCCAACGGGGCCCTAGTGTTATTATTAGGGCCCGAGCGTAGCTGCTAAGCAGCTGCGAGAGCCCTCTTGTTCCTGATGGATTCTTCTTTCGTTATTTTTCCTCCGCTTTAAACTGGAAAATGGCCCACTTCCCACTGGCGAAAACTCAGGAAATTTGGCAGGACGACCGGGCCTGGTGAAAAATTTGATATTCTGAAGTCGCCCAAACAAAAAAATGAAAAATGGCTCCATAGCGCCCCCTATGGTGAAAACTCACCTGACGCCTGTACGCTTTGTCAAAATGACACAAAATTTGACACACATGTGTATCTCAATAAGATCTACAAAAAAGTCAATGCGCGCGTATCTGTCAAATGTACCGTTAAAGGGCTATTTCGCATTTTTTGCCGATCCGCACACATTGGAATTTCGCTAACTCCTCCGAAGGCTTTCGTTCCACCGGCACCAAATTTGCTCAGGCCAATCTACACCCCATGGCCATTAAAAGTTGTACAAATCATGACGCTGTACCCCACGGTTTATGTTCTAGGGGGCGCCAAAGATAACCCAAAAATCCACATTCTTAAAAGTCTTATAACTTTTTATTTTTGTCCTCACTGGCCTCCAAGTTTTCTAGGATGATGCAATGTCCAGCCATCAACACATTTGTGAAGGAATTTTTACTCCCCAAAAGAGCGCCCCCCCATGGCAGGAGAAAAAAGTCCATTTTTTCTTGTCCCCTAAGGTGCAAATACACATTGTTGAGTGTCACGCCTGTACGCTTTGTCATATTGACACAAAATTTGACAATCACGTGTGTCTCAATAACGTCTACGAAAAAGTCAATGCACGCGTATCTGTAAAATGTACGGTTAAAGGGCTATTTTGCATTTTTTGCCGATTCGCACACATTGGAATGTGGCTAACTCCTCCTAAGGCTTTCGTCCCACCGACACCAAATTTGCTCAGGCCAATCTACACCCCATGGCCATTCAAAGTTGTAAAAATCATGACGCTGCACCCCACGGTTTACGTTCTAGGGGGCGCCAAATATGACCCAAAAATCCACATTCTTAAAAGAATCCACATCCCCCCCCCCCATCCCCCATCCCCCATCCTCCATGGCAGGAGAAACAGTCAAGATTTTCCTGCCCATCACTCAATGGCTCAATCGCATCGCTCTCCCGGCAACACCGTAACGAGGAGCAACTTGCCGTTTGGATATATCCTAGCTGTGTTTGTGCCCTCACTCATGGTCCAGACTTTTTTCAAATAGGACATGTAGTTTGTCTGCAGCGAGTGTTTTGGTAGAAACTGCGCCTCCCATTCATTATAATGGGAAATGACCACAGACAAGTGCGCACACCATCTTTGGACCTTGAGTGTGACGCGATCGGGAGGGGGAGGCGGTCGCGCTGGGGGCGGCGCGACGCGGCTCGGGCCCGACAGTGCCCCACCGGGGCCCTAGTTATTATTTTTCCTCCCCTTTGAACTGGAAAATGGCCCACTTCCCACTGGCGAAAACTCATGAAATTTGGCAGGACGACCGGGCCTGGTGAAAAATTTGATATTCCGAAGTCGCCCAAACAAGAAAATGCAAAATGGCTCCATAGCGCCCCCTAAGGTGAAAAATTCACCTGACGCCTGTACGCTTTGTCAAAATGACACAAAAATTGACACACACATGTATCTCAATAAGATCTACAAAAAAGTCAGTGCGGGCGTATCTGTCAAATGTACGGTTAAAGGGTTATTGCGCATTTTTTGCCGATCCGCACACATTGGAATTTCGCTAACTCCTCCGAAGGCTTTCGTTCCACCGGCACCACATTTGCTCAGGCCAATCTACACCCCATGGCCATTAAAAGTTATTCAAATCATGACGCTGCACCCCACGGTTTAGGTTCTAGGGGGCGCCAAAGATAACACTAAAATCCACATATTTCAAAGTCTTATAACTTTTTATTTTTGTCCTCACTGGCCTCCAAGTTTTCTAGGATGATGCAATGTCCAGCCATCAACACATTTGTGAAGGAATTTTTACTCCCCAAAAGAGCGCCCCCCATGGCAGGAGAAAAAAGTCCATTTTTTCTTGTCCCCTAAGGTGAAAATACACATTGTTGAGTGTCACGCATGTACGCTTTGTCAAAATGACACAAAAATTGACACACACATGTAACTCAATAAGATCTACAAAAAAGTCCATGCGCGCATATCTGTCAAATGTACAGTTAAAGGGTTATTCCGCATTTTTTGCCGATACGCACACATTGGAATTTCGCTAACTCCTCCGAAGGCTTTCGTTCCACCGGCACCACATTTGCTCAGGCCAATCTACACCCCATGGCCATTAAAAGTTATTCAAATCATGATGCTGCACCCCATGGTTTAGGTTCTAGGGGGCGCCAAAAATAACCCAAAAATCCACATTCTTAAATGTTTTATAACTTTTTATTTTTGTCCTCACTGGCCTCCAAGTTTTCTAGGATGATGCAATGTCCAGCCATCAACACATTTGTGAAGGAATTTTTACTCCCCAAAAGAGCGCCCCCCCATGGTAGGAGAAAAAAGTCAATTTTTTCTTGTCCCCTTACATGAAAATACACATTGTTGAGTGTCACGCCTGAACGCTTTGTCATATTGACACAAAAATTGACAATCATGTGTATCTCAATTAGATCTACGAAAAAGTCAAAGAGCGCGTATCTTTATAATGTACGTTTAAAGGGCTATTTTGCATTTTTTGCCGATTCGCACACATTGGAATGTGGCTATCTCCTCCTAAGGCTTTCGTCCCACCGATACCAAATTTGCTCAGGGAAATCTACACCCCATGCCCATTCAAAGTTGTAAAAATCATGACGCTGCACCCCACGGTTTACGTTCTAGGGGGCGCCAAAGATGACCCAAAAATCCACATTCTTAAAGGAATCCACACACCCCCCCCCCACACCCCCCCCAAGGCAGGAGAAAAAGTCAAGTTAACCCTGCCCATCGCTCAATGGCTCAATCGCATCGCTCTCCAGGCAACACCGTAAGGAGGAGCAACCTGCCATTTCGATATATCATAGCTGTGTTTGTGCCCTCACTCATGGTCCAGACTTTTTTCAAATAGGACATGAAGTTTGTCTGCAGCGAGTGTTTTGGTAGAAACTGCGCCTCCTATTCATTATAATGGGAAATGACCACAGACAAGTGCGCACACCATCTTTGGACCTTGAGTGTGACGCGATCGGGAGGGGGAGGCGGTCGCGCTGGGGGCGGCGCGACGCGGCTCGGGCCCGACAGTGCCCCAGCGGGGCCCTAGTTAGGGCCCGAGCGTAGCTGCTAAGCAGCTGCGAGAGCCCTATTATTCCCCAAGGGGTTTTTCTTTGTTTCTTTCTTTCTTCTTTTTCCTCCCCTTTGAACTGGAAAATGGCCCACTTCCCACTGGCGAAAACTCATGAAATTTGGCAGGATGACCGGGCCTGGTGAAAAATTTGATATTCCGAAGTCGCCCAAACAATAAAATGCAAAATGGCTCCATAGCGCCCCCTAAGGTGAAAATTCACACTATTGACTGTCACGCCTTTACGCTTTGTCATATTGACACAAAAATTGACACACATATGTATCTTAATAAGATCTACAAAAAAGTCAGTGCGGCCGTATCTGTCAAATGTACGGTTAAAGGGTTATTGCGCATTTTTTGCCGACCCGCACACATTGGAATTTCGCTAACTCCTCCGAAGGCTTTCGTTCCACCGGCACCACATTTGCTCAGGCCAATCTACACCCCGTGGCCATTAAAAGTTATCAAAATCATGACGCTGCACCCCAAGGTTTAGGTTCTAGGGGGCGCCAAAGATAACACTAAAATCCACATATTTAAAAGTCTTATAACTTTTTATTTTTGTCCTCACTGGCCTCCAAGTTTTCTAGGATGATGCAATGTCCAGCCATCAACACATTTGTGAAGGAATTTTTACTCCCCAAAAGAGCGCCCCCCCATGGCAGAAGAAAAAAGTCCATTTTTTCTTGTCCCCTAAGGTGAAAATACACATTGTTGAGTGTCACGCCTATACGCTTTGTCAAAATGACACAAAAATTGACACACACATGTAACTCAATAAGATCTACGAAAAAGTCAATGCGCGCGTATCTGTCAAATGTACGGTTAAAGGGTTATTCCGCATTTTTTGCCGATCCGCACACATTGGAATGTGGCTAACTCCTCCTAAGGCTTTCGTTCCACCGGCACCACATTTGCTCAGGCCAATCTACACCCCATGGCCATTAAAAGTTATTCAAATCATGACGCTGCACCCCACGGTTTAGGTTCTAGGGGGCGCCAAAGATAACCCTAAAATCCACATATTTAAAAGTCTTATAACTTTTTATTTTTGTCCTCACTGGCCTCCAAGTTTTCTAGGATGATGCAATGTCCAGCCATCAACACATTTGTGAAGGAATTTTTACTCCCCAAAAGAGCGCCCCCCCATGGCAGGAGAAAAAAGTCCATTTTTTCTTGTCCCCTAAGGTGAAAATACATATTGTTGAGATTCACGCCTATACGCTTTGTCATATTGACACAAAATTTGACAATCACGTGCCTTGCCTGGTATCATTTTTTTCAGCACAACCTCACCTGTGCGAATTTACAGTTATTTTATCATGTTGACATACTGAATTTACACAATGGACCCAAATTCACACACAAAACATAAAATCCAAGTGGAAAAAAGTAACATTTTTACTGTGAAAACCACAAATATGTGTGATGAACTGTTTTTAAAACTTAAACTTCAAATAAAAATTGTAAACTTCAAAACATATGCAAATTTTTAACAAAGAACATAGTGATTTACCTCTATTTACATCAAAATGCAGGCAATGGCCCAGGCGTTCTTTGTAAAATTATTTACAAAACACTGTATAGTCTCACAAATGTCACTTTTTATTTATGCCACTACAAAAAAACATGATGTAAATGATGCATGATGTAAAACATGATGTAAAAAACTTGTGTAGATCCTCCTCTATGTCAGTCCATGTGTAATTTTTCCATAATTCTTTGTTTTTTGCAGCATTTTTGTTAGTGTAACTGCAGATTGTGCTGACAGTGTCTATGGCACAAAAAAAAAAAAAAAATTAAAATGCCTCAACATGAACCCCTGGTGGTCTCTGAGGGTGAAACCTGCTAACTGCTGCAGCTCTGTCAGCTTCAGTCTCCCATGCAGAGCTCTGAGCGCATGTGTGGCTCTGCACCCTTAGCAGCGTTGCTAACTCCTCAGTAAGGAAAGCCTGCTTCATGTCAGAGTCTCTAAACTCCAGAAGAAGTCGATAAAAGTCCCTTTCTTTCTAAAAAAAGTCGTTAGGGGGTCTGAAAAGTCATTGAATCTAACAACAAAGTCGCTAGGTTTGCAACTACGTGTCCCAGACTGCATCCCTGCTGAGAGTCCCTCCCTCGCTTCTCATGTTGCAGGAAGAACGTAAGCGCCCGCCCCTTGTCAATCAGTCACCATATAATTTTGGATTGGTTGTTGTGGTGAAGTTTTCCACCAATAGGAGAGATGTTGTGGTGTGTTTTTTTTTCTTTTGGCAAGCCTTTTCCGCCTGTAAGACCTGTCGCTAATGTCTGCATGCTATGTTTTCCTGTCTCATACAGCGCGATCGAGCGCCGAACGTGATCAAAATAAGCAGAAAAAAAGTATCGCAGACATAATTTATCATAACTCTGGTTTTATTTGGCCTATCAACACAATTTAAAAACTGGTATATAGGTTGAGGTCCTCACATTTGAGATAAGTTGAAACGGAGAGTCAACGAGGCTCCGTCTTGCAGCTACATCCGGTTAAATATGTCATGTGACTTGAACGCACACACAGACACACACACACACACACACACACACACACACACACACACACACACACACTCAGAGTCTGGTTTTTAGCACCTGCAAAAACATGCTATTTACATATTTGACAAGAATGCAGAGGCTCCTTTTGCCCCTGAAAAAAATCAAATTTCAAACACAACTTGACTGCTCATTTCTCCAAAAGACAACCATGAAGCTCCATCCAAACCTGAAGCAGGCAGTTGGTGCATGTGTACAGTAACCTGAGGGGAGTGAGGTGAGTGCTTCTGAGGAGAACATGAGCAGTGAAGATTCACCTTGGAGCTAGAACAGAGACATGCACATGATTATACAGGGGCAGGGGCTCAAGTTTTTTCCAGTCGTTTATACAATATGGAAATTAATGTGAAATTAAAACACAAAGTATTAATAGAAAGGTAATGACTGTCCTGTGTAGGTGACAGTGATATCGAATAGGCTAGGCACTCACGAGGCTGGCTGTGGCAAGTGTAAGTGAAAGCAACACGCACTGGCAGGAAGAACAGCAAACGCCGATGAAGGAAAAGGGTCTTTGCAGTGATGGGCGTTACCAGAGAGGGCGATGGCCAGAGGACACAAATGGGACGAGGAGGCAGCGCGTTGGGGGGGGGACGCGACACAGCTCGGGCCCGCCAGTGCCCCAACGGGGTCCTAGTTTCTTTTTCCTCCCCTTTGAACTGGAAAATGGCCCACTTCCCACTGGCGAAAACTCATGAAATTTGGCAGGACGACCGGGCCTGGTGAAAAATTTGATATTCTGAAGTCGCCCAAACAATACAATGCAAAATGGCTCCATAGCGCCCCCTAAGGTGAAAAATTCACCTGACGCCTGTACGCTTTGTCAAAATGACACAAAAATTGACACACACATGTATCTCAATAAGATCTACAAAAAAGTCAGTGCGGGCGTATCTGTCAAATGTACGGTTAAAGGGTTATTGCGCATTTTTTGCCGATCCGCACACATTGGAATTTCGCTAACTCCTCCGAAGGCTTTCGTTCCACCGGCACCACATTTGCTCAGGCCAATCTACACCCCATGGCCATAAAAAGTTATTCAAATCATGACGCTGCACCCCACGGTTTAGGTTCTAGGGGGCGCCAAAGATAACCCTAAAATCCACATATTTCAAAGTCTTATAACTTTTTATTTTTGTCCTCACTGGCCTCCAAGTTTTCTAGGATGATGCAATGTCCAGCCATCAACACATTTGTGAAGGAATTTTTACTCCCCAAAAGAGCGCCCCCCCATGGCAGGAGAAAAAAGTCCATTTTTTCTTGTCCCCTAAGGTGAAAATACACATTGTTGAGTGTCACGCCTATACGCTTTGTCAAAATGACACAAAATTTGACACACACATGTAACTCAATAAGATCTACAAAAAAGTCAATGCGCGCGTATCTGTCAAATGTACAGTTAAAGGGTTATTCCGCATTTTTTGCCGATACGCACACATTGGAATTTCGCTAACTCCTCCGAAGGCTTTCGTTCCACCGGCACCACATTTGCTCAGGCCAATCTACACCCCATGGCCATTAAAAGTTATTCAAATCATGATGCTGCACCCCATGGTTTAGGTTCTAGGGGGCGCCAAAAATAACCCAAAAATCCACATTCTTAAATGTTTTATAACTTTTTATTTTTGTCCTCACTGGCCTCCAAGTTTTCTAGGATGATGCAATGTCCAGCCATCAACACATTTGTGAAGGAATTTTTACTCCCCAAAAGAGCGCCCCCCCATGGTAGGAGAAAAAAGTCAATTTTTTCTTGTCCCCTTACATGAAAATACACATTGTTGAGTGTCACGCCTGAACGCTTTGTCATATTGACACAAAAATTGACAATCATGTGTATCTCAATTAGATCTACGAAAAAGTCAAAGAGCGCGTATCTGTATAATGTACGGTTAAAGGGCTATTTTGCATTTTTTGCGGATTCGCACACATTGGAATGTGGCTATCTCCTCCTAAGGCTTTCGTCCCACCGATACCAAATTTGCTCAGGGCAATCTACACCCCATGCCCATTCAAAGTTGTAAAAATCATGACGCTGCACCCCACGGTTTACGTTCTAGGGGGCGCCAAAGATGACCCAAAAATCCACATTCTTAAAAGTCATTTTGGCCACTGCAGGAGTACAGAGTACTGCAGTTCTAGGGGGCGCCAAAGATGACCCAAAAATCCACATTCTTAAAAGTCTTTTTGGCCACTGCAGGAGTACAGAGTACTGCAGGATACACACACATATACACACACGCCAACATACACACACACACACACACACACAGACACACACACACACTCAGAGTCTGTTTTTTAGCACCTGCAAAAACATGCTGTTTACATATTTGACAAGAATGCAGAGGCTTCCTTTTGCCCCTGAAAAAAATCAAATTTCAAACACAACTTGACTGTTCATTTCTCCAAAAGACAACCATGAAGCTCCATTTCAAACCTGAAGCAGATAGTTGGTGCATGTGTACAGTAACCTGAGGGGAGTGAGGTGACTATTTCTGAGGAGAACATGAGCAGTGAAGATTCACCTTGGAGCTAGAACAGGGACGTGCACATGATTATACAGGGGCAGGGGCTCAAGTTTTTTCCAGTCATTTATACAATATGGAAATTAATGTGAAATTAAACCACAAATATGTGTGATGAACTGTTTTTAAAACTTAAACTTCAAATAAAAATTGTAAACTTCAAAACATATGCAAATTTTTAACAAAGAACATAGTAATTTACCTCTATTTACATCAAAATGCAGGCAATGGCCCAGGCGTTCTTTGTAAAATTATTTACAAAACACTGTATAGTCTCACAAATGTCACTTTTTATTTATGCCACTACAAAAAAACATGATGTAAATGATGCATGATGTAAAACATGATGTAAAAAACTTGTGTAGATCCTCCTCTATGTCAGTCCATGTGTAATTTTTCCATAATTCTTTGTTTTTTGCAGCATTTTTGTTAGTGTAACTGCAGATTGTGCTGACAGTGTCTATGGCACAAAAAAAAAAAAAAATTAAAATGCCTCAACATGAACCCCTGGTGGTCTCTGAGGGTGAAACCTGCTAACTGCTGCAGCTCTGTCAGCTTCAGTCTCCCATGCAGAGCTCTGAGCGCATGTGTGGCTCTGCACCCTTAGCAGCGTTGCTAACTCCTCAGTAAGGAAAGCCTGCTTCATGTCAGAGTCTCTAAACTCCAGAAGAAGTCGATAAAAGTCCCTTTCTTTCTAAAAAAAAGTCGTTAGGGGGTCTGAAAAGTCATTGAATCTAACAACAAAGTCGCTAGGTTTGCAACTACGTGTCCCAGACTGCATCCCTGCTGAGAGTCCCTCCCTCCCTTCTCATGTTGCAGGAAGAACGTAAGCGCCCGCCCCTTGTCAATCAGTCACCATATAATTTTGGATTGGTTGTTGTGGTGAAGTTTTCCACCAATAGGAGAGATGTTGTGGTGTGTTTTTTTTTTCTTTTGGCAAGCCTTTTCCGCCTGTAAGACCTATCGCTAATGTCTGCATGCTATGTTTTCCTGTCTCATACAGCGCGATCGAGCGCCGAACGTGATCAAAATAAGCAGAAAACAAGTATCGCGGACATAATTTATCATAACTCTGGTTTTATTTGGCCTATCAACACAATTTAAAAACTGGTATATAGGTTGAGGTCCTCACTTTTGAGATAAGTTGAAACGGAGAGTCAACAAGGCTCCGTCTTGCAGCTACATCCGGTTAAATATGTCATGTGACTTGAACGCACACACAGACACACACACACGCACACACACACACACACACACACACACACACACTCAGAGTCTGGTTTTTAGCACCTGCAAAAACATGCTATTTACATATTTGACAAGAATGCAGAGGCTCCTTTTGCCCCTGAAAAAAATCAAATTTCAAACACAACTTGACTGGTCATTTCTCCAAAAGACAACCATGAAGCTCCATCCAAACCTGAAGCAGGCAGTTGGTGCATGTGTACAGTAACCTGAGGGGAGTGAGGTGAGTGCTTCTGAGGAGAACATGAGCAGTGAAGATTCACCTTGGAGCTAGAACAGAGACATGCACATGATTATACAGGGGCAGGGGCTCAAGTTTTTTCCAGTCGTTTATACAATATGGAAATTAATGTGAAATTAAAACACAAAGTATTAATAGAAAGGTAATGACTGTCCTGTGTAGGTGACAGTGATATCCAATAGGCTAGGCACTCACGAGGCTGGCTGTGGCAAGTGTAAGTGAAAGCAACACACACTGGCAGGAAGAACAGCAAACGCCGATTAAGGAAAAGGGTCTTTGCAGTGATGGGTGTTAACAGAGAGGGCGATGGCCAGAGGACACAAATGGGACGGGGAGGCAGCACGTTGGGGGGGGGGGGGGGGGGGACGCGACACGGCTCGGGCCCGCCAGTGCCCCAACGGGGTCCTAGTCTTTGTTTCTTTCTTTTAGGGCCCGAGCGTAGCTGCTAAGCAGCTGCGAGAGCCCTCTTGTTCCTGTAGTTTCCTTCTTTTGTTATTATTATTATTAGGGCCCGAGCCAGCTGCAGAGCAGCCGGGCGTAGGCCCTATTATTCCCCAAGTGGTTTTTCTTTGTTTCTTTCTTTCTTTCTTTCTTTCTTTCTTTCTTTCTTCTTTTTCCTCCCCTTTGAACTGGAAAATGGCCCACTTCCCACTGGCGAAAACTCATGAAATTTGGCAGGACGACCGGGCCTGGTGAAAAATTCGATATTCTGAAGTCGCCCAAACAATAAAATGCAAAATGGCTCCATAGCGCCCCCTAAGGTGGAAATTCACACTATTGACTGTCACGCCTGTACGCTTTGTCATATTGACACAAAAATTGACACACATATGTATCTCAATAAGATCTACAAAAAAGTCAGTGCGGCCGTATCTGTCAAAATTACGGTTAAAGGGTTATTTCGCATTTTTTGGTGATCCGCACACATTGGAATTTCGCTAACTCCTCCGAAGGCTTTCGTTCCACCGGCACCACATTTGCTCAGGCCAATCTACACCCCGTGGCCATTAAAAGTTATCAAAATCATGACGCTGCACCGCAAGGTTTAGGTTCTAGGGGGCGCCAAAGATAACACTAAAATCCACATATTTAAAAGTCTTATAACTTTTTATTTTTGTCCTCACTGGCCTCCAAGTTTTCTAGGATGATGCAATGTCCAGCCATCAACACATTTGTGAAGGAATTTTTACTCCCCAAAAGAGCGCCCCCCCATGGCAGGAGAAAAAAGTCCATTTTTTCTTGTCCCCTAAGGTGAAAATACACATTGTTGAGTGTCACGCCTATACGCTTTGTCAAAATGACACAAAAATTGACACACACATGTAACTCAATAAGATCTACAAAAAAGTCCATGCGCGCATATCTGTCAAATGTACAGTTAAAGGGTTATTCCGCATTTTTTGCCGATACGCACACATTGGAATTTCGCTAACTCCTCCGAAGGCTTTCGTTCCACCGGCACCACATTTGCTCAGGCCAATCTACACCCCATGGCCATTAAAAGTTATTCAAATCATGATGCTGCACCCCATGGTTTAGGTTCTAGGGGTGCCAAAAATAACCCAAAAATCCACATTCTTAAATGTTTTATAACTTTTTATTTTTGTCCTCACTGGCCTCCAAGTTTTCTAGGATGATGCAATGTCCAGCCATCAACACATTTGTGAAGGAATTTTTACTCCCCAAAAGAGCGCCCCCCCATGGTAGGAGAAAAAAGTCAATTTTTTCTTGTCCCCTTACATAAAAATACACATTGTTGAGTGTCACGCCTGAACGCTTTGTCATATTGACACAAAAATTGACAATCATGTGTATCTCAATTAGATCTACGAAAAAGTCAAAGAGCGCGTATCTGTATAATGTACGGTTAAAGGGCTATTTTGCATTTTTTGCCGATTCGCACACATTGGAATGTGGCTATCTCCTCCTAAGGCTTTCGTCCCACCGATACCAAATTTGCTCAGGGCAATCTACACCCCATGCCCATTCAAAGTTGTAAAAATCATGACGCTGCACCCCACGGTTTACGTTCTAGGGGGCGCCAAAGATGACCCAAAAATCCACATTCTTAAAAGTCATTTTGGCCACTGCAGGAGTACAGAGTACTGCAGTTCTAGGGGGCGCCAAAGATGACCCAAAAATCCACATTCTTAAAAGTCTTTTTGGCCACTGCAGGAGTACAGAGTACTGCAGGATACACACACATATACACACACGCCACACACACACACACACACACACACACACACACACACACACACACACACACACACACACACACAGACACACACACACACTCAGAGTCTGTTTTTTAGCACCTGCAAAAACATGCTGTTTACATATTTGACAAGAATGCAGAGGCTTCCTTTTGCCCCTGAAAAAAATCAAATTTCAAACACAACTTGACTGTTCATTTCTCCAAAAGACAACCATGAAGCTCCATTTCAAACCTGAAGCAGATAGTTGGTGCATGTGTACAGTAACCTGAGGGGAGTGAGGTGACTATTTCTGAGGAGAACATGAGCAGTGAAGATTCACCTTGGAGCTAGAACAGGGACGTGCACATGATTATACAGGGGCAGGGGCTCAAGTTTTTTCCAGTCATTTATACAATATGGAAATTAATGTGAAATTAAACCACAAATATGTGTGATGAACTGTTTTTAAAACTTAAACTTCAAATAAAAATTGTAAACTTCAAAACATATGCAAATTTTTAACAAAGAACATAGTAATTTACCTCTATTTACATCAAAATGCAGGCAATGGCCCAGGCGTTCTTTGTAAAATTATTTACAAAACACTGTATAGTCTCACAAATGTCACTTTTTATTTATGCCACTACAAAAAAACATGATGTAAATGATGCATGATGTAAAACATGATGTAAAAAACTTGTGTAGATCCTCCTCTATGTCAGTCCATGTGTAATTTTTCCATAATTCTTTGTTTTTTGCAGCATTTTTGTTAGTGTAACTGCAGATTGTGCTGACAGTGTCTATGGCACAAAAAAAAAAAAAATTAAAATGCCTCAACATGAACCCCTGGTGGTCTCTGAGGGTGAAACCTGCTAACTGCTGCAGCTCTGTCAGCTTCAGTCTCCCATGCAGAGCTCTGAGCGCATGTGTGGCTTGCACCCTTAGCAGCGTTGCTAACTCCTCAGTAAGGAAAGCCTGCTTCATGTCAGAGTCTCTAAACTCCAGAAGAAGTCGATAAAAGTCCCTTTCTTTCTAAAAAAAAGTCGTTAGGGGGTCTGAAAAGTCATTGAATCTAACAACAAAGTCGCTAGGTTTGCAACTACGTGTCCCAGACTGCATCCCTGCTGAGAGTCCCTCCCTCCCTTCTCATGTTGCAGGAAGAACGTAAGCGCCCGCCCCTTGTCAATCAGTCACCATATAATTTTGGATTGGTTGTTGTGGTGAAGTTTTCCACCAATAGGAGAGATGTTGTGGTGTGTTTTTTTTTTCTTTTGGCAAGCCTTTTCCGCCTGTAAGACCTGTCGCTAATGTCTGCATGCTATGTTTTCCTGTCTCATACAGCGCGATCGAGCGCCGAACGTGATCAAAATAAGCAGAAAACAAGTATCGCGGACATAATTTATCATAACTCTGGTTTTATTTGGCCTATCAACACAATTTAAAAACTGGTATATAGGTTGAGGTCCTCACTTTTGAGATAAGTTGAAACGGAGAGTCAACGAGGCTCCGTCTTGCAGCTACATCCGGTTAAATATGTCATGTGACTTGAACGCACACATAGACACACACACACGCACACACACACACACACACACACACACACACACACACACACACACACACACACACACACACACACACTCAGAGTCTGGTTTTTAGCACCTGCAAAAACATGCTATTTACATATTTGACAAGAATGCAGAGGCTCGTTTTGCCCCTGAAAAAAATCAAATTTCAAACACAACTTGACTGGTCATTTCTCCAAAAGACAACCATGAAGCTCCATCCAAACCTGAAGCAGGCAGTTGGTGCATGTGTACAGTAACCTGAGGGGAGTGAGGTGAGTGCTTCTGAGGAGAACATGAGCAGCGAAGATTCACCTTGGAGCTAGAACAGAGACATGCACATGATTATACAGGGGCAGGGGCTCAAGTTTTTTCCAGTCGTCTATACAATATGGAAATTAATGTGAAATTAAAACACAAAGTATTAATAGAAAGGTAATGACTGTCCTGTGTAGGTGACAGTGATATCCAATAGGCTAGGCACTCACGAGGCTGGCTGTGGCAAGTGTAAGTGAAAGCAACACGCACTGGCAGGAAGAACAGCAAACGCCGATGAAGGAAAAGGGTCTTTGCAGTGATGGGCGTTAACAGAGAGGGCGATGGCCAGAGGACACAAATGGGACGGGAAGGCAGCACGTTGGGGGCGGGGGGGGGGAGACGCGACACGGCTCGGGCCCGCCAGTGCCCCAACGGGGTCCTAGTTATTATTTTTCCTCCCCTTTGAACTGGAAAATGGCCCACTTCCCACTGGCGAAAACTCATGAAATTTAGCAGGACGACTGGGCCTGGTGAAAAATTTGATATTCCGAAGTCGCCCAAACAAGAAAATGCAAAATGGCTCCATAGCGCCCCCTAAGGTGAAAATTCACACTATTGACTGTCACGCCTGTACGCTTTGTCAAAATGACACAAAAATTGACACACACATGTATCTCAATAAGATCTACAAAAAAGTCATTGCGGCCGTATCTGTCAAATGTACGGTTAAAGGGTTATTTCGCATTTTTTGCCGATCCGCACACATTGGAATTTCGCTAACTCCTCCGAAGGCTTTCGTTCCACCGGCACCACATTTGCTCAGGCCAATCTACACCCCATGGCCATTAAAAGTTATTCAAATCATGACGCTGCACCCCACGGTTTAGGTTCTAGGGGGCGCCAAAGATAACCCTAAGATCCACATATTTAAAAGTCTTATAACTTTTTCTTTTTGCCCTCACTGGCCTCCAAGTTTTCTAGGATGATGCAATGTCCAGCCATCAACACATTTGTGAAGGAATTTTTACTCCCCAAAAGAGCGCCCCCCCATGGCAGGAGAAAAAAGTCCATTTTTTCTTGTCCCCTAAGGTGAAAATACACATTGTTGAGTGTAACACCTGTACGCTTTGGCAAAATGACACAAAAATTGACACACACATGTATCTCAATAAGATCTACGAAAAAGTCAATGCGCGCGTATCTGTCAAATGTACGGTTAAAGGGTTATTTCGCATTTTTTGCCGATCCGCACACATTGGAATGTGGCTAACTCCTCCGAAGGCTTTCGTTCCACCGGCACCACATTTGCTCAGGCCAATCTACACCCCATGGCCATTAAAAGTTATTCAAATCATGACGCTGCACCCCACGGTTTAGGTTCTAGGGGGCGCCAAAGATAACCCTAAAATCCACATATTTAAAAGTCTTGTAACTTTTTATTTTTGTCCCCACTGGCCTCCAAGTTTTCTAGGATGATGCAATGTCCAGCCATCAACACATTTGTGAAGGAATTTTTACTCGCCAAAAGAGCGCCCCCCCATGGCAGGAGAAAAAAGTCCATTTTTTCTTGTCCACTAAGGTGAAAATACACATTGTTGAGTGCTACGCTTGTATGTTTTGTCGTATTGACACAAAATTTTACATACACGTGTATTTCAATAAGATCTTCGAAAAAGTCAATGGCCACGTATCTGTAAAATGTACGGTTAAAGGGTTATTTCGCATTTCTTGCAGATTCGCACACATTGGAATTTCGCTAACTCCTCCGAAGGCTTTCGTTCCAACGGCACCACATTTGCTCAGGCCAATCTACACCCCATGGCCATTAAAAGTTATTCAAATCATGACGCTGCACCCCACGGTTTAGGTTCTAGGGGGCGCCAAAGATAACCCTAAAATCCACATATTTAAAAGTCTTATAACTTTTTATTTTTGTCCTCACTGGCCTCCATGTTTTCTAGGATGATGCAATGTCCAGCCATCAACACATTTGTGAAGGAGTTTTTCTCGTTAAAAGAGCGCCCCCCCATGGCAGGAGAATAAAGTCAAGTTTTTCCTGTTCATCATTCAATGGCTCAAACGCACTGCTCTCTCGGCAAAAGCGAAAGGAGGAGCAACTTGCCATTTGGATATATCTTAGCTGTGTTTGTGCCCTCACTCATGGTCCAGACTTTTTTCAAATAGGACATGGAGTTTTTCTGCAGCGAGCGTTTTGGTAGAAACTGCGCCTCCCGTTCATTATAATGGTAAATGACCACAAACAAGTGCGCACACCATCTTTGGACCTTGAGTGTGACGCGATCGGGTGGGGGAGGCGGTCGCGCTGGGGGCGGCGTGACACGGCTCGGGCCCGCCAGTGCCCCAACGGGGCCCTAGTTATTTTTCCTCCCCTTTGAACTGGAAAATGGCCCACTTCCCACTGGCGAAAACTCATGAAATTTGGCAGGACGACCGGGCCTGGTGAAAAATTTGATATTCCGAAGTCGCCCAAACAAGAAAATGCAAAATGGCTCCATAGCGCCCCCTAAGGTGAAAATTCACACTATTCACTGTCACGCCTGTACGCTTTGTCAAAATGACACAAAAATTGACACACACATGTATCTCAATAAGATCTACAAAAAAGTCAGTGCGGGCGTATCTGTCAAATGTACGGTTAAAGGGTTATTGCGCATTTTTTGCCGATCCGCACACATTGGAATTTCGCTAACTCCTCCGAAGGCTTTCGTTCCACCGGCACCACATTTGCTCAGGCCAATCTACACCCCATGGCCATTAAAAGTTATTCAAATCATGACGCTGCACCCCACGGTTTAGGTTCTAGGGGGCGCCAAAGATAACCCTAAAATCCACATATTTCAAAGTCTTATAACTTTTTATTTTTGCCCTCACTGGCCTCCAAGTTTTCTAGGATGATGCAATGTCCAGCCATCAACACATTTGTGAAGGAATTTTTACTCCCCAAAAGAGCGCCCCCCCATGGCAGGAGAAAAAAGTCCATTTTTTCTTGTCCCATAAGGTGAAAATTCACACTATTGACTGTCACGCCTGTACGCTTTGTCAAAATTACACAAAAATTGACACACACATGTATCTCAATAAGATCTACAAAAAATTCAGTGCTGGCGTATCTGTCAAATGTACGGTTAAAGGGTTATTGCGCATTTTTTGCCGATCCGCACACATTGGAATTTCGCTAACTCCTCCGAAGGCTTTCGTTCCACCGGCACCACATTTGCTCAGGCCAATCTACACCCCATGGCCATTCAAAGTTATTCAAATCATGACGCTGCACCCCACGGTTTAGGTTCTAGGGGGCGCCAAAGATAACCCTAAAATCCACATATTTAAAAGTCTTATAACTTTTTATTTTTGTCCTCTCTGGCCTCCAAGTTTTCTAGGATGATGCAATGTCCAGCCATCAACACATTTGTGAAGGAATTTTTACTCCCCAAAAGAGCGCCCCCCCCATGGCAGGAGAAAAAAGTCCATTTTTTCTTGTCCCATAAGGTGAAAATACACATTGTTGACTGTCATACCTGTATGCTTTGTCATATTGACACAAAATTTGACACACACATGTATCTCAATAAGATCTACGAAAAAGTCAATGCGCGCGTATCTGTAAAATGTACGGTTAAAGGGCTATTTTGCATTTTTTGCCGATTCGCACACATTGGAATGTGGCTAACTCCTCCTAAGGCTTTCGTCCCAATGACACCAAATTTGCTCAGGCCAATCTACACCCCATGGCCATTCAAAGTTTTAAAAATCATGACGCTGCACCCCACGGTTTACGTTCTAGGGGGCGCCAAAGATGACCCAAATATCCACATTCTTAAAAGAATCCACATCCCTCCCCCCATCCCCCATCCCCCATCCCCCATGGCAGGAGAAACAGTCAAGTTTTTCCTGCCCATCACTCAATGGCTCAATCGCATCGCTCTCCCGGCAACACCGTAACGAGGAGCAACTTGCCGTTTGGATATATCCTAGCTGTGTTTGTGCCCTCACTCATGGTCCAGACTTTTTTCAAATAGGACATGTAGTTTGTCTGCAGCGAGTGTTTTGGTAGAAACTGCGCCTCCCATTCATTATAATGGGAAAAGACCACAGACAAGTGCGCACACCAACTTTGGACCTTGAGTGTGACGCGATCGGGAGGGGGAGGCGGTCGCACTGGGGGCGGCGCAACGCGGCTCGGGCCCGCCAGTGCCCCAACGGGGCCCTAGTCTTTCTTTCTTTCTTCTTTTTCCTCCCCTTTGAACTGGAAAATGGCCCACTTCCCACTGGCGAAAACTCATGAAATTTGGCAGGACGACCGGGGCTGGTGAAAAATTCGATATTCTGAAGTCGCCCAAACAATAAAATGCAAAATGGCTCCATAGCGCCCCCTAAGGTGGAAATTCACACTATTGACTGTCACGCCTGTACGCTTTGTCATATTGACACAAAAATTGACACACATATGTATCTCAATAAGATCTACAAAAAAGTCAGTGCGGCCGTATCTGTCAAAATTACGGTTTAAGGGTTATTTCGCATTTTTTGCCGATCCGCACACATTGGAATTTCGCTAACTCCTCCGAAGGCTTTCGTTCCACCGGCACCACATTTGCTCAGGCCAATCTACACCCCGTGGCCATTAAAAGTTATCAAAATCATGACGCTGCACCCCAAGGTTTAGGTTCTAGGGGGCGCCAAAGATAACACTAAAATCCACATATTTAAAAGTCTTATAACTTTTTATTTTTGTCCTCACTGGCCTCCAAGTTTTCTAGGATGATGCAATGTCCAGCCATCAACACATTTGTGAAGGAATTTTTACTCCCCAAAAGAGCGCCCCCCCATGGCAGGAGAAAAAAGTCCATTTTTTCTTGTCCCCTAAGGTGAAAATACACATTGTTGAGTGTCACGCCTATACGCTTTGTCAAAATGACACAAAAATTGACACACACATGTAACTCAATAAGATCTACGAAAAAGTCAATGCGCGCGTATCTGTCAAATGTACGGTTAAAGGGTTATTTCGCATTTTTTGCCGATCCGCACACATTGGAATTTCGCTAACTCCTCCGAAGGCTTTCGTTCCACCGGCACCACATTTGCTCAGGCCAATCTACACCCCGTGGCCATTAAAAGTTATCAAAATCATGACGCTGCACCTCAAGGTTTAGGTTCTAGGGGGCGCCAAAGATAACACTAAAATCCACATATTTAAAAGTCTTATAACTTTTTATTTTTGTCCTCACTGGCCTCCAAGTTTTCTAGGATGATGCAATGTCCAGCCATCAACACATTTGTGAAGGAATTTTTACTCCCCAAAAGAGCGCCCCCCCATGGCAGGAGAAAAAAGTCAATTTTTTCTTGTCCCCTAAGGTGAAAATACATATTGTTGAGATTCACGCCTATACGCTTTGTCATATTGACACAAAATTTGACAATCACGTGCCTTGCCTGGTATCATTTTTTTCAGCACAACCTCACCTGTGCGAATTTACAGTTATTTTATCATGTTGACATACTGAATTTACACAATGGACCCAAATTCACACACAAAACATAAAATCCGAGTGGAAAAAAGTAACATTTTTACTGTGAAAACCACAAATATGTGTGATGAACTGTTTTTAAAACTTAAACTTCAAATAAAAATTGTAAACTTCAAAACATATGCAAATTTTTAACAAAGAACATAGTGATTTACCTCTATTTACATCAAAATGCAGGCAATGGCCCAGGCGTTCTTTGTAAAATTATTTACAAAACACTGTATAGTCTCACAAATGTCACTTTTTATTTATGCCACTACAAAAAAACATGATGTAAATGATGCATGATGTAAAACATGATGTAAAAAACTTGTGTAGATCCTCCTCTATGTCAGTCCATGTGTAATTTTTCCATAATTCTTTGTTTTTTGCAGCATTTTTGTTAGTGTAACTGCAGATTGTGCTGACAGTGTCTATGGCACAAAAAAAAAAAAAATTAAAATGCCTCAACATGAACCCCTGGTGGTCTCTGAGGGTGAAACCTGCTAACTGCTGCAGCTCTGTCAGCTTCAGTCTCCCATGCAGAGCTCTGAGCGCATGTGTGGCTCTGCACCCTTAGCAGCGTTGCTAACTCCTCAGTAAGGAAAGCCTGCTTCATGTCAGAGTCTCTAAACTCCAGAAGAAGTCGATAAAAGTCCCTTTCTTTCTAAAAAAAGTCGTTAGGGGGTCTGAAAAGTCATTGAATCTAACAACAAAGTCGCTAGGTTTGCAACTACGTGTCCCAGACTGCATCCCTGCTGAGAGTCCCTCCCTCGCTTCTCATGTTGCAGGAAGAACGTAAGCACCCGCCCCTTGTCAATCAGTCACCATATAATTTTGGATTGGTTGTTGTTTTACTCCCCAAAAGAGCGCCCCCCCATGGCAGGAGAAAAAAGTCAATTTTTTCTTGTCCCCTAAGGTGAAAATACATATTGTTGAGATTCACGCCTATACGCTTTGTCATATTGACACAAAATTTGACAATCACGTGCCTTGCCTGGTATCATTTTTTTCAGCACAACCTCACCTGTGCGAATTTACAGTTATTTTATCATGTTGACATACTGAATTTACACAATGGACCCAAATTCACACACAAAACATAAAATCCGAGTGGAAAAAAGTAACATTTTTACTGTGAAAACCACAAATA